TTCGGAGTCCTCAACCATTTTTAGAGTGTAAAGAAAGGGGTGCTGAGGCCAAATAACTTAAGAACCGCCGCTTAAATTTTTGCTTTTTCTCCAAAGAACCGAGCAGAGGATATCTAACCCACTCCTCTGACTTCAGCGATTCCCATCTAAATCTCAGAAACCCGGGTATCCGTAAAGTATCTCAATCTGGTTCCGTGGGAAGCGTCTAAAATCTCGTGCCACAGACTTTTCGCGAGGTCAAACTTCTTGACTTCTCTGAGCCTCAGTTTATTTCGCAAACGTGAAAGGCAGGGTCTGGAACATTCGCTGTTCAATATCCTTTCCAGCCCTGACAGTCTATGATTTTTCTAGTTCCTGTCTTTGCCCTGACTCATTAACTTACGTTTTATCCTATGAGAGAATTCGAGATAAAATCAGCCCTTTTCTCGCCACCTTCCTGCAAACAACGGGCCGTGCGGAATAAATATCGCGGAAAGCTCCAGATGTTAAGAATGACAGGTGGCAGCCAGACGTAATGGTAACTGTCCTTGGGCCAGTTACCCAAGGACCGCCTAGTCCCCCCAGCGCGTCCCCCCAGCGCACCTCATACCTGCCAGAGACGCCGTCCAAGGGGCCCAAGCGCCGTCCGCGCCGCCATCTTGCCGATTCCGCTTCCCCGGATCGCTTCCGGGGTCACAGAGGAGTCCTCCGACCATGGAGTTCTGCAAAAGGAGAGAGTGTACCCTTGTGTTCCGGCACCGGAACAACCATAGAGACGCGATTCCACGCGCTCCGAGGGTGGGACTGTGAATGTAGCCGGCTTCCTTCCGGTCGCAACCTGACCTGTACGCCGTCTTGTAATAGTTTCACCCCGTATCTAGTTACCGAGTTCTGTCAGCGCTTTCCTTTCCAAATCGTGTTTGTCCTTTGCGGTTCCTGTTTTGTTGGATGCAAACACAACAAACACATGCTTGGAAAAAATATGAGTAATATATTGACACTGGTTATCTCTGAGTAGTGGATGAATGGTTGATGTTTTTTCCTATTATAACGGAGCAAAGGGCTTGTGTGCCTGTGGCTCGCAGAAAGCCAAACTGACAGCGGGAGTTCGTATCCGAGTAAGGATTTATTACAGGGCGCCAAGCAAAGGAGTAGGAGACAAGCCTCAGATCCACTCCAACTTGGTATTTGAGTTAGGGGTTTTTTCTTTGTTTTTTAAAGGAGAAATCAAAGAGACTGGGATTAATCACCTTGTGACATTTCTGAATTGTAGTTTTGGGAGTCACAGTGTCTCTGTTTTACGATTCCCTGGCCAGGTGGTCCATGACTCGGGATCTGTTACCTCATCTTGCCCTGGAGAAACAACCTGAGTTTGTACTTGAATGGTGATAGCTATAACAGCAATAGCCTTGGCAGGCTGCCCAGTGTCCTTTTCAGAATCAGGCTCCCTCTGTCAATTGTGACATTCAGAGTTGGCTGGTCTCTCTTAGCCAGTGGAGTTTTCCTATAGCTCTCCAACTCTGTTGCTGCTTTTGAAGCATCCGTCTCTCCTCCGGGATGGCTCCTCAGCCTGCCTCTGCCCCCTTGAGCAGCCTTATCTGGGTGAGGGTTCTGCAGCTGCCAGTGATGGTGACCTTAACAGCTTGCAAACAACTTTTCCCTATGTCACCTAATCTGATCCTCACAAGAAGACGTGTATCTTGTCCTAATTTAATAGGTGAGGATACTGAGGCTCAGAGATGAAATGACTCATTCAAAGTCATATGGGTGAGTTAGTTACAGCTGAACCAATAACCATCTTCAAAATCCTAGTTCAGTGACTTTTCCACCCCTGCAGCACCCCTGGTGCTGACTTTGTAATAAGGTCCAGTTCTACTAAGTAGAACTCTTAGTAGTCTCTTTTGGATGTGAGGCATAGAGGTACTCATTTCCCCACGCTCCTGCAAGAAAAGGAGTTTGTTTTTTATTTTTAAAGACATGTATGGCCTGAACTGCTCCTGCAATTGGAAAAGTGGGCTCAAAGCAGCCTTAGGGACTGGATGCCCTCTCCACCCCTAAGGCCAAGCATGGTCTCTTTATTGATGGGCTTTCTCTGCTTACAAATAGTTGGTGCTCCCTCAGAATTCTGCGTGCTGCCTTTGGCTCACCAAGTTTCTCCATTCATACTCTCAAATGTGGGAATTGGATTTGGTCCCCTCATTTTCCGGGGCTAAATCACGTCATGTGTCATCAAATGGACTATGGGCCTAATAGCTTGGGGTCAGGTGCTGGCCCTGGTCCAATTAGCTGGGGGTAAGGTGGGAGTCATTGTGAGGGGCAAACTCGGGTTTTGCCAACAGTGGGGCTGTGGACAGAGCCCTTTGGTATGGTGTGTGGGCATGGACAGCGTGGAGGTTTTTTTTGACATGTAAACGTTCTTAGTTTATTAGCTTGGACAGTGTTCTAAAGCTTGGCCAGTCCATTATGGGTCTTTTCCCTACAAACTAAGCCTTCAAACCTCTGAACTAGTGTAAATGAGCAGGAGATCAAGTTGATGCAAGTCCACCTTGCTTTATATCCAGGAAAAATAAAAGTGTGTGCATCAAACATTTCTAAGTTATATCATACTTTGATTGCACCGGTTGTTCTGTTTTTTTGTTTGTTTGTTTGTTTTTTGCGGTACGCGGGCCTCTCACCGTTGTGGCCTCTCCCGCTGCGGAGCAGAGGCTCCGGACGCGCAGGCTCTGCGGCCATGGCTCACGGGGCCCAGCCGCTCCGCGGCATGTGGGATCCTCCCGGACCGGGACACGAATCCGTGTCCCCTGCATCGGCAGGCGGACTCTCAACCACTGCGCCACCAGGGAAGCCCCCAGTTGTTCTGTTTTAAAAGACAGATCTTCTCACTTGATTGTGATGATTTCATGGTTATACACTTATCTCCAAACTCATCAAGTTGTATACAATAAATATGTATAGCTTTTTATGTGTCAATCATACCTTAATAAAGTGGTTGGGGAAGAAAAAAAAAGAAATAGCAAGACTGCCAAAAATAAAATTACATAAGCAGAGGAAGTAAGGAAGTAATGACCCCAAACAGCCCAAAGAGATCCATGTTGTATGTTAAGGATATGTGTGCTGGAATGCAAATTTGGAAGCATGTATGGCTGCTTGGCCTTTACGACTCAAACAGAAACATTAAACACTTCCCTTGCGGCGGGGTGTGGGAGGAGGACAGCTCTTTTCAAAAGATTCTCTCTCATATAAAGAAATAATCAGCCCTTTGGCTCTTTTATACAGGGATATCTGAGACCCAAAGATCACTATGGTTCACTTAGGAATATATTATTCAATTTCTTAACATGCCTTCCTAATTATGTTTTGTTTATACCAACATTAAAACTCAGCCTCAGTCCACAGCTGGCTGGCTGTGGCTGAGGAAGGTAGACTGGGAGTCTGTGGAATTCAGAATTGACTTTAGGTAAAGTCAAAAGAGGTTTTATTTACACACACACACACACACACACACACACACACACACACGGATAAGCATACCTGCAAGATTAGAGAGATAATTAACAAATAGTTGCTGAGCACCTGTTATAAATTGCTGTGAATATGTGGGTGATGGTGAGATGGTTCAGTAATAATAATAAAGCATGACCTTTGCTCTTCCCAGTGATGGAACTGGATCTGTTCCCAGGCCCCTATATGTTTTTTCTAAGTATTAAATTCCTTGGCAGGAAGGCAGGAATGATGTCACAGTCATCTTTAGCTACTCAACTGCCCTGTGTATAATACAGCGTGGAATAGTGCCTGGTACGTGAGTAATGAATGAGACTAAGACAGTAGGAAAAAAGTCTTCAGATTGGACACCTGAGGCCCTGGAAGCAGAATTTAAATTTCCAACACTGGCTAAATGTAGTGTTTGTAAAGGAAGAGCTATTTTCTTTGGCACATGACTAACACTGCCCAAATTAAAAGTATAAAACCCCAAAAGAACAAAGAAGATCAAGGTCTTGAACAGGTATGCCCTACTGAAATCAAATTCTGTATGAAATCCAGAATTTCAGATTTCTCCTGAACTTTGCTGTTGACCATTAAAAAGTAAACACACTTTGTAGAATTTGGAAATCCAGATTAGCAATGCCTATAAACCAGGGTGGGGCTTCCCTGGTGGCGCAGTGGTTGAGAGTCCGCCTGCCGATGCAGGGGACACGGGTTCGTGCCCGGTCCAGGAAGATCCCACATGCCATGGAGCAGCTGGGCCCGTGAGCCATGGCCACTGAGCCTGCGCGTCCGGAGCCTATGCTCCGCAACGGGAGAGGCCACAGCAGTGAGAGGCCCGCGTACCACAAAACAAAAAAACAAACAAAAAAATCCAGCGTGGACTAGATTTTGTTGGTGGTTCCCTGTGAGATAACCTGTGTGTAATACTGAGCTCCCTCAAACTGCATTGTGAGTAGTACGGGTTAGAGGCCATCAACCCTTCAAGTGGCTCATCCACAGCTTGAGCAGCAGAAATATTCATCTTGGCCTCCAGGGTAGAGGTGAGGGCATTTATATGAGCATTAAATCTGATCAGCCTGGGCTTCCCTGGTGGCGCACTGGTTAAGAATCTGCCTGCCAATTCAGGGGACACAGGTTCGAGCCCTGGACGGGGAAGATCCCACATGCCACGGGGCAACTAAGCCTGTGTGCCACAACTACTGAGCCTGAGCTCTAGAGCCCGTGTGCCACAACTACTGAAGCCCTCGTGCGACAACTACTGAAGCCCGTGCACCTAGAGCCTGTGCTCTGCAACAAGAGAAGCCTCCACAATGAGAAGCCCGTGCAATGCAACGAAGAGTAGCCCCCTCCTCGCCACAACTAGAGAAAGCCCGCGCACAGCAATGAAGACCCAATGCAGCCAAAAATAAATAAATAAATAAATAAATATATAAAAAATCTAATCAGCAGCCCTCTAAACCGGTCTCCAGAAACTAACGGTAAATAGCATTGAGAAGTCATTTCAGCAGCTAGAAAGAAGGAATGTTTAAGCCAAATGAAACTCAAAAAGATAACATTTTATTTTCAGAGCAGCTGATGCAATATTGAATCAGGTTTTCACAAATAAATATGACAGTGTCTACTTGGTTACATCTCTGTTTGATGAATGCCTATCTGTAAGAAATGTAATAAATTTCTGAGGAGGTTAATGACCGGAACCTTTTAAGCAAAATTCTCCTGGCTTGCTTCTGAAAAAAAGTATTGTGGCAATTAAAATAAAATGCTCATCGCTCGGGGAAAACCAATCTAGAATGCCCCAGTTGTTTTTGTTTTTAAGGAATGAACCTTTTGAGGACAAGTCTATAAAACATCTTTATTTATTTGTTACATATGATGTTTAAATATAACTTTGCTTTCAAGCTTCAAACTTTTTTTTTAAACCCCTGGGAAAATAAGACTTTTGGTTCGCCTTAACAAAAACTGACCTAGGAAGAAACACTTTTAGCAAAATGTATTATAAAATTCACTAGAAAATACTGTCCTCTTTTTGCCAAAATGTTACATAAAATCCTTATTAAAAATACACACGTTACAAAAGAAAAAAGTATGAATATGCTATACATAGTGCTTTTGATATGGACCAAGGGACCTGCATTCTGGGGAAAATACAGTGAAGCACATTAGATATTATGATGTCAACTTAAAATAGTGCAAACCAGAATAAATTACATCCTAAAATGGGAAGGCATGCAAGTCATTTCCTACGAATAGAACACAATGAAGCCAGAACAGGAAGCAATCACAACCACTATTTAAAAATGTTTTCCTTTTTATTACATTAATTTTTTTCAAAAATACTTTTCTTTACAATAGAACTCCTAGAAAATATTTACAACCTTCCTCTAATAAAATAGAACAGCAGTTAAATATATTTGAAAATAAGGTGGGTTTTTCCATAAAATATATCTTTTAACTTTTTATATACAAGCTTTCTCAAAGAGGTCTAAATTCACTAATGAAAAACTATCTGATAGTAAACAGTAACTGTGTTGAAGACAAACCATTGGGAAGAAAATTTCTTTAGGGTGGGGAGAGATGGGGCGCTGAGGAGCTAAAACACAACACATACATGCAGGCAGAATCACTTCAGGAAAAAAATAAGTGCAATATTTTACTATGAAGTCAATTCTTTAAGTTGATATTGTGAAGGAAAATACTAATTCAGGAAAGTGAACTGTCTCATCAAGGAGGAGTTCTTTGGTTATTTCAAGTCAAAAATCCAAATGCTATACTGCATGGAAAATCAAAATTAAATTGTGCGTTATATTTTTGCCTCGGCAACTCAGTTTATTTTAATGTTTTAAACTGGAACAGCCGGGCAAGTCTCCACACAGAATGAGTACATTTCCTTTATAAACATTTTTCCGGGTGTTTTGCTCCTTTGCTAGATAAGCTTTCAGAGACCCAAGAGCAGAACCATGCCAGAATCCCTCTCAGACACCCACAAGTGGAGGGAAGTAGTCACTGGGACAGATGGGATCAGCCGATATTACAGTTGGAATGGTTCTGGAATAGCTCTGCCACAAAGCTGATGCCCTCCCCAGGCAGTTCTGAACTCAGAACATAGAATAATTTGTCAGAAATGGCAGCAAATGAAAGACTTTCTTTTCCCCCTAAAAAAAGATAAAGGAAATCTTCAAGACCTCTTTTTCTGAAAACCGAATGGTGGCAATGAAAAGAACCTTTGTATTATCTTCTGTCCATGGCTTTCCTGAGATTCAGAGGACACTGCCTGCGTGGGGCTGCTGGGGGTCTTCAGTGTGTGCTAGAAGCTTTTGCTGAGACAACTTAAAGATGCTCCAGTCCTATCCTCATGCTTCCGCTGACATCCTCTTTAACATCAAACTATTACTGTGCCAGCAAAGTGCCCTGGTAGGGCTGCCACACCTGCAGGAGCTGGGGCGTCAGAAGCGTCAGCTCTGTGCCGGGGCCGCATCCCAGCCTGAAGGCGCGCGCACTCATTTGCCCTGATGGAGGCCATGGAGGAGTCTGACTCAGCTCAAAAGCCTGAGCTCGATGCCATTTTTGAAGGATTACAGGTTTATTACCTTCAAGTACAAACAGCAACCCTGCCGGCAGGGACAGGAGGAGACATAGCAGGGGTATGTAGCTTGGAGAATTCTAGAAGGGCTTTGGTAAATGACTTTAATGAATTCATTCATGTTTGAATGTAAACACTGTAGCTGAAGTGGTATCTGAAACCATTTTTGTTGGCCTTTAATGCTATTTCCCTTGTATTTGCCATCAGATTTGTTAGACAACCCTTTTCCTCAGAGTTAGCGTCAAGGTAAACTTCGGGCCAGCACAGGCGAATGACAGCAGAATCCTAGTGAATGAGGTTTCACAGTACTTCCAAGTGGCACAGCGTAATTTCAGAACTCCACTGACCATTAACAGTGTGGCAAAAAAGAATCAGCTCTTCTGATCTAGTTTTTGGGCCTCTTGGCATTCCAGGGACTTTAATCTGTGCTCTTCCACCATCCTCCCTGAAAACAGCCCTGGCAACTTAATAGTTGCGGTTATCTTCCTCCAGACAGATTTCTAGTCGGCTCAGGCCAACTCGAAAAGAAGCATGTGAAATTTAGAAGATCTGAGTTCTTGGAAATCCAAGGGATCCTGCTAACCCATGAATTGGAGTCAACCGGTCTTCACGGAACTGGGAAGAGGACGCACTTGCTCCAGGAATCACCTTCATAGTAAATCACGGCCAGGGAGGAAAAGCCTGAAATGACACAGCACTCAGTTTTCAGAAACAGGCCGAGTGACAGACAGGGCAGGAAGAAAAATGACTTTCACGTTTGGTCAACTCTTCAAATGACGTGTGTGCTAGAAGAAAGCTGTGGAACACAGGGCGGCCTTTGCTCACTGGAAAGCTACTTCCTAGTATGGTCTCCCGGCAAAGACGCCAAGTTCACTGCAAACTGCGGAATGAGGTCAGCATAAAAATGACTCTTGGTGGGAAAGGATGGCCCAAGACCCCAGCACAAAGAAAGTAGCCTGCTTCACACACACACACACACACACACACACACACACACACACACACACAGACTCTCTCACTCGCTCACTCATGCAAGCTTTGGGATAAAAGGCTACCAGGATGGTTGGCATCTGAAAGCAAAAGAACACGAACGTCAGGTTCATTCCCAACCAGGAATGAGTTCATGGGAATGTAGCCCAGATGAAACACATCTTAAAGTAGGATTGTGCCAATTATTTATTCCCCCCCAACCTCCCACAAAACAATTGTTTTTAAATAAAAGGAAAAAACCCCGATTTTTTTCTAAACCTGAAAAAAACGACCACTTTTTAAACAGGTAGTTTAAAATGGTTACAAAACAAGCAGGCAGTTCAGCTTTCCTGATGAATGAGGATGGAGACCGTGGGTTTTCGCCGTCTCCAAGCGACACACGGGCTTTAGAGTTCTGTGTCACCCTGAAGCAAAACTGAATCTTGATCATCCAAGAGGAGACCGGTGTCCACGACCTCGGCCTCTTCCATGACGCCTCCTAACTGCTGGACGACGTCGTCGTCGAGGATGTCCACGTCCTTGATGGGTTTGATCAGACTCAGCTGGTCCAGGGGTAGCAGCCCCGGCGGCCCCACCGGCCCCGTAGTCCTCTCAATCGTGGCTGCCATTTCGGCCGCAAAAGCCGCCTTCTGGGCTTTCTGCCTCTGCTGTTCCTCCTGCTGCCTGTGAGTTTTCATGTGTGCATTTCGGCTTTTGATCTTGAAGAAGACTCTATAAAAATGAAGAAAAAGAAGCATGTGAAATTTAGAAGATCTGAGTTCTTGGAAATCCAAGGGATCCTATAGGCAACAGCAGGTGCATGGTCTGCTGTCTGGTTTGGGGTGGCTCTGACAGAGTTCCCATCTCCTTAGCTCCCAAGACCTCCTCCCCTGGTGACCTGTGACCTCTCTTCTCTCCAAGCGTTCCAAGGAAAGGGGATAGGGACAGGAACACATTTACGGTGTGTTGGGCTTTCTCTCTGTGACAACGGAGGATGAATCCTCAAAGCTTTCCTGTCCATCTATGGCCTGGGGCACAAGCGTTTCTTTCCTCCTTATCTTCCCCGTTTCTCTCTCCAACACTGACCAAGCCCTCTCGACCAACCTGAGAATCCCCAAACCATGCTGCCAAGCTCTGTTGGTTCCCACCATAAAACAACCCATCCTTTGCCTCTGGCCTCCTGTCCCTGTCATTCCCGTCAAAATTCTAGAGGGTCTGCCTGCACACACGTACAGTGCCTCTTGCCTCCACACTCTCCAACTGGACTGTCATCTCCTCCACTTCAGTCCAAGTGCTTGAGTTCGCTAGTGACCGTGTGGCCAAATCCAACAGCCCCTCTTCTGTCTTCATTGTACTGGGCTTCTGAGCTGCACTGACCATTCCTCTTTGCCCAAGATCCCGTCTCGTTTTGGCCATCATATATCATAGTTCCCTCCTGCTTGCTTTAGAATGAAATAGTGGTTCTCAGCTAGGGGGGATTCTGCCTCCACAGGGAATATCTGGCAACGTCTGGAGACATTTTTGATGGTCACAGCTGGGTGGTGGTAGTGGTACTTCTGGCATCGAGTGGGTAGATGCCAGGGATGTTGCTGAATACCCTACAATACAGAGGGCAGGCCCTCTTCCCCAAATAAGGAATCATCAGACCCAAAATATCAGTGTCAAGGCTGAGAAATCCTGGTAAAAGGGGTCTGCCAACTATGGTCAGTGGGCCAAATCCTGCCCACTGCCTGCTTTTGTAAATAAAGTTTTACCAGAACGCAGCCACGTTTATTTGTTTATGTATCGTCCATGGCTGCTTTTGCACTAACATGGCACATCTGAGTAGTTGTGACAGAGATAGAATGACCTGCAAAGCCTAAAGTATTTCTTTTTTTTTAAAGTTGAGAATTATGTTTTTTTTTTGTTTTTGTTGTTTTGGCTGCGTTGGGCCTTCGTTGCTGCACGTGGGCTTTCTCTAGTTGTGGCGAGCAGGGGCTACTCTTCGATGCGGTGAGCAGGCTTCTCACTGCAATGGCTTCTCTTGTTGTGGCTGGCGGGCTCTAGAGTGCAGGCTCAGTAGTTGTGGCGCACGGGCTTAGTTGCTCTACGCATGTGGGATCTTCCCAGACCAGGGATCGAACCTGTGTCCCCTGCACTGGCAGGCAGATTCTTAACCACTGTGCCGCCAGGGAAACCCAGCCTAAAATATTTCTATCTGGACCTTTTTCAGAGCAAGTTTGTCCAGATGTGAGACGGCCTGTTTTTAGAGAGGGAGGGTGGCATAAATATTTATTCCTGAGCTCATAAAGGGAAAAAACCCCCCTGATTTCTAAGACCCCTGTCTTAGAACAGAGTTGCTGAATCACCACTGGACATACTGAAAACTGTCTAACGTAATGAACATAATTTCAGCAGCTAAAAAAAGGATTCTGCAAACATGTGCCTGATGTTATTCCTCATCTGGAAAACCATACAAAATATTTCTGCCATAAAAATCTTAACTGGAGTTATGGTAGAAAAAGGTCCCAAGCAACATAAAAACAAGACAAGAAAAACATTTTATGGACGTCACTGAAAGACAACCAGAGCTTGAAATACTTATTTCTGGTTGTTAAAATGTCCTTTGTCGCCACCTAGTGGAATAAGGAGTTGTCGCCTGTTGGAGGGGAGTGAGTGGAGGAAAGATGCTGGTTCCTCTGGGAAGAAACTGGTTGAGACCCTCCTTCCCTGCCTCTCCCACCCCAGGGCAAGTAGGGGGGAGTCCTACTGAGGAGGTTTCCCTATTTCAAGTAAGTAAGCCCGATGATCAATCCAGGGGCTCATTTATTCCTTGCTGACATGAAGATGATATCATGTCCTGGCTCTGAAGGATATTAGAGCCCAGAGGAGGGGACCCACGCCTAAGTCTCTCTCCCCATCTCTGCAGGAAGAGAGCTGCTAGTTCCAACTCACTTTGGCAGGTGCCACTGACCTACGGCTAAGAGCACCTACCTCATCGGGCTTAAGATTAAATTAATCAATACACGTAAACATCCTTTAAAACAGTGCCAGGCAAATACTGAGTAACTGATAAATAACAGAATTATTAAGATGCCTGAAATACACCTGAAATATTCCATGAGGATGAATATTATAAACAGAGGTCCCAGTTGGCCTCATTCATACAACTAGGGATGTTCCCTTGGTAGAGTTTCAGCAGCTACCTCGTGGGCATCTCTCCAGGTAACACTGCACGTTTGAGACACTGGAGGTTACAGGAAGAGAAACTCGGCAAGGCTCCTAAAAGAAGTCACTTATGACAACCCTTCTTGGAGGCAGACTCACTGAGAAGTAAACTGGAATTCTATACTAGATGCTGTGGGAGGGAACTGTGTGCATCTCACCATCAGTGATAAATAAATAAGCAAACAAAGCAAACCACTAGGCTGGAACAGTGGTCAGAAGCCCAGGCTCTGTACTTGAACACATAGGGGTTCAAATCTCGGTTCTGCTTTTACTGGGGGTATGACCTGGGGCAAGTAAATTTACCTAATGTTCAGTCCTTATTTGTAAAAACAAGGATAAAACAGTATCTGCGCCACATGGAGTTTCTCTGTGGGGATTAAATGATCTCATCTACATGAAGTATGTAACAAAATTAAGTGCTTAGTAAACGTTATTTAATGCTGTTATTACCACCTACTCTCAGTTTCCCCTTTTCATTGTTTTAAATTACACTTAAAACTGCAGAGATGACAAATAGACTTTACCTCATGAGTCAACTCTGATCAATTGGTTGTGCCAGCTTGAAGCATTAGGATTTAAAGGATTTGAAAGGATTTGAGTCTTATCTTAATGTGGTAGCAAAAAGTATAGCAATTGATTAGTGATGTCTGCCCTGGGTGCAGGAATGAGCAGTATTGGTAGGAAAGCCATCTCTGCCACAGAGAGTTCCTGATTAGATGTTTTAGAGCCATTCTCAAATCACTCGGCAGGGACGCAAAGAGAGCAGTCAGTACTAGTGAATATGGTTTGGGTGTGAAGGGAAGAGGTGGGAATCAAGAGTTCCATCCATCATTTCTGGAAAAGAGTGAAGTTTTGTCACTAGAGATTTGCTCTCTGATGATGTCCATCCTTATTAGGCTTTAGGACATCAGAATGACAGTATTCTGAGTCAGAGACAAGGTCCACTCACCATGAGGCACCATGTAGACCCCAAGGATGAAATGAGGAAAAACTGGAGAGTCTGGGTTCTTTTTCTACCTGGACACACCTCAGACCACCTTGGCCCAGCCCCTACAGAGGCATTATTCATCACACACTTAGATTCAGTCCCTGGCCCAGTTCTACCTACTTGCCACACTCCTTGCAGGGGAAGATGGTGGTGGGGTCTGTCTCGCCGCTGGTGGTGCTGTGAGAGGGTGAGCTCTTCACTGAGCAGTACCCGCTCTGGGCACTGCCAGGCTTCTGCTTTCCAGAGGGAACAGCACCCCGAGCTTTGGTCACCTGGTTGGTGCCACCGTGGATGCGGGCATGGCCATTCAGTGCCTGTCGGGAGCTGAACACCTGGGGAAGAAAGGGAGTGACATGACATCTACAGTCCTGAAAAGGAAATTAGGGTTATTAGTTACTCATTGGTAGAACATGTGATACTCGAAACAGTGTCTAATGACAAGGCCTAGGGGTTTTACATAAGCAAACTCTGGGCAAATGCCACAGAAAGTAGAGATCGAATACCACAACCACAAGTGCTGTGCCAGTAAGAAACCCATCACTGTTATAACCAAAGACTAGGGCTCAATCCACTGCCTCCATCTCACAGGGAGGCCATTGGGCCATTTCCCCTCTGAACACCTTATTTTTTCCATCTGTAAAATGAGAGGGTTTGGACCAGCTTTCAAACTTTTTAACAGCCAGAAGCTACCTTCCACCTCTTTTTTCTTTTCTTTCTTTTTTCCTTTCCTTTCCTTTCTTTACTTAAAAAAAATCAGGTCTTATTCAAAAGCTCAAAGCAGAGGTACTCTGGCTGAAATAGACAGCCCCCCCCAAATTGAATCTATTTGCTCAGCTCTATCTCCCCCCTAGGAAGCCCTCGAACCCCAAGAGACACAGCTTGGAAGACACTGACTAGCTGCTCTGATATATTCTATATGTTATTTCTAAGCCCCAGTCAGTAGCCCAGTGTTGAAGCAACGTTTCTGACCCCGACATTGTACTGCAGGATGAAAAAAAGGGGAACGACCTGGTCTTTTGAAGGCTGCCATAATGCACGGTTTCCCAACCTCAGTATTACTGACATTTGGGACTGGATGATTCCTTGCTGTGGGGCTGTCCTGGGCATCACAGGATCTTCAGCAGCAACCCTGGCCTCTCTACCCACCAGATGCCAGGAGCACCTCCCTAGATGTGATAAAAATGTCTCCGGACGTTGCCAAATGTTCATGGGGAACAAAATCATTCCCGGCAGAGATCCACTGCTGTAAAGGGATGTAATCCACACCCCTGAATTCCAAGAGCTCTGACTTCCAGATTGCTAAGTGCATCAGCTAGTGCGAGTGCCCACTGAACTGTCCAGACACTGATGGTCACTCTGTGTTAAGTTCATGAGTTCTGTTTATAGTCTTGCAGGGAAAAAAAAAAATCTTTCGCTGATTTAGCAACCGAAACCTCCATGGTTAGGCACCGAATAAAACTAACATGGTTTTTCCCTGTTGTTTTTTAAAGTCACGAAAAAATATTCACCTTGCTGAGCATTTTTGATTGGGTAAAGTAAAAGATGATTTCCCGCTCAGGAAAGAATTTACTGTACTCCCAAACTATGAATTGAGGAAGCATCCAATTTCTAAACAAATTCACCAAGGACACTGTCATTTAAAGTCACATCTCATAGCTAGTGGGAAGCAGCCACATAACACAGGGAGATCAGCTCGGTGCTTTGTGACCACCTAGAGGGGTGGGATAGGGAGGGTGGGAGGGAGATGCAAGAGGGAGGAGATATGGGGATATATGTATACGTATAGCTGATTCACTTTGTTATAAAGCAGAAACTAGCACATCATTGTAAAGCAATTCTACTCCAATAAAGATGTGTAAAACATAAATAAAAAGTCACATCTTAATCATCCCCTAAAGGGAGTGCTGTATACAATACGGCAATGATGGAGTGAAGCGTCCAGCTCATTAAACATCAAAGATAGAAACAAGCTAGCAATTTCTTAGGTTCTCTTCAGAGCTAATGCAAAATGTATGTATCATTTAAAAGGAGTTTTTCATTTTTTCTTAAATGTAAGTCAAGTGAATTTCTGCTTTAGGATCTAACTATTTTAAAGACTGTTGCTTTCTTCATCTAAGTGACAGACTCAATAAGCAGCATTCAATGCACTCTGGAAAACAGTATTATCCTGTGTAACACACAAGCAAGGATAAGCACTAACTTGGGGAAAACAGGGCTTCATATGAAAGGAGCAACATTCTAAGTTTTTGCATAATACCTCTAGAGCTTGCCTGCACAGGTGTGCCCAGCTTTTAGAAACTTGATTTGGGAAAAGCTCAACAATTCAGATGAGTGGGGTACCCGGGGGACTGAGAGTCCAAAGTTAACAATTAAAAAAACATATCCATTAAAATACACAGGGAGCCTTAGATCAGGCCAGTACAGATTCTGTAAGGCCATCCTTTAGTGATCAAATGGTGAACTGGTTTTATTTTAGTTAAATGATGCTTCTAATGTACTTGAAAAGTACTAGGTTAGATAATTACACAGACACCTTTTTAGCCTGTTTACATGAATAATTTGCTTAGTAAATCTTGTTTGCTTCCCCCCAAAAGTACAAAGATAAACTTTAGCTAAATCTTTGTAATTATGCCATAAAAAGACACTCCTTCTCTGTGGGCTCTCCCACTGCATTTAAATGCATGTCTCCAGGACATGACCTGTGTGACACAGCCCAGGAGGAGTAGGGGGGCACCAAGTAACGAGGAGTGTAAGTTCTGGAGGTCAAGGTCCATTGTAGAGCCTGAATCACATTTTCCCTGAGGGCAGGGACGGACCTGTGTCCTCCAAGCACATGCACAGTGCTCAACAGAGAACACACACTCCAGAAATATCTACGGGCTGAATGAATAAGTAAATGGATGAAAGAAAGAAAAGCATGGCCACATGGACTTCCCTCTGCCAAACTTTGACTGCTGAAAGTACACCTTTTGCAAAGTGCATCATCTCTTAAAGCCGGGCACAGCTGTATGTACGGCTCTCAGGAGTCCCAGATCCCTGGAGGGCGCAGAGACACTTACAGCTCCACAGTTGGGCATTTCACAGATGAAGGAGCCTGAGGGCTGGCCCAGGGCTTGCAGGGGCGGCCCCTCTGCGGAAGCCAGGACCGGGCCTGGTGGTGGCTCTGGAGACTTGGGCAATTCACTCTCCTCTTCTCTCATGGATTTCCTGTCTTCTTCTGGGTCTTCCTCCTCCTCCTGTACCTCTTCATCTTCTTCACTTGTCTGGTGTTACGGCAATAAAAGCAAAAGGGGGAAAATCCCCAAATGGCATGTTTAGTGATGAACAGAACCCAGGAGCTAGGAGAGGCGAGAAGGGCTGGACGCTGGGGCTGCATCGGCTTCTTTGTGCATAAGGAAGGGCTGGCAGAGGCCTCTGGGGAGCGATACGGTTTCTACAAGGTTGGTCATTGGACACTTGGAATTCTGAGGGCAAGAAAGTCCCCCCAGCCCACTTTGGGTTCCCTTATCACTTATAAAAACATATCCTAAGGCAGAGGATATACAGATTTCTGTATGTAGAGTTTCTCCCCCTTTAGTCCCACTGACTAAAACACAGGCAGGATACCCCACTTGCAGCAGCTCTGCCTCCCCAGAGCAGTGAGGAGGGTTTTCAAGCAGTAATGACACTGTGGAGCCCCTCTGGACAGAGACTAAAGACCTATCAGGATTTGTTTTTAAAGGTCTTCTAACACACTTCCTTGCAAGATGCCCGAAATATTGATTTGAACTGTGGAAGGCACATGACCCATGGCATTCTGATGCACTTCTTCTCTGTTCTTGTCAGAAAACAGGATCAGAGACTGAACCACAGTGACTCTGAAAAGGAGCAGAAATGGAAGGGGATATTCCCTTTTATTTATCATGTGCTATATATATATATATTTTGGTCTCTGATAATGGTCTCTGATCATGGGCCCTCTATAAAAAAGAATAAGAAAAATATTTCTATGAATAATTATCCTCTTTGTGACTGTGTCCCCTCCCTCTGCTTCAGAACAGCAACAAGGTGCAGAATTAAGCAGAAGGTCCTGACCTTCGTCAAGGTTAACAAGACAGTTAATGGAATAGCCTGGAGGAGGTACCTGGGCTGGGTGGGGATGGGGTCCAGGGATCTAGGAGGCCCTTTTAGTGAACTAACTACCTTACTCTGCAATCTCAGTCCTCACGGGGGTGGGGTGGGGGGAGGGTGTGTGTGTAAGGGATGCTTGCTCCTCCGGGCCTAGAAGGACTGAGGACCAGGGATGGGAATTCCGTGTTACGTCAACCTCATTTTAGCGTCTATTTTACAGCACTTCGTGGTGTACAAAGTGTGTTTGCTGTGTCACTGAATAGGCTGTAAACAGTCCTCCTAGTTTACAAATGAAGAAACAAAAGGGATGTCCCGCTGCCTTCCACCCTGATGGGTCATCTGTCTCTGCTGGGCTCTCTGCATACCCACTGCTTAAAGCATGTGGGCCGGGGGACTTCCCTGGTGGCACAGTGGTTAAGAGTCTGCCTGCCAATGAAGGGGGCACGGGTTCGATCCCTGGTCTGGGAAGATTCCACATGCTGCGGAGTGGCAAAGCCTGTGCGTCACAACTACTGAGCCTGGGTTCTAGAGCCCACGAGCCACAACTAGAGTCTGTGTGCCACAACTACTGAAACCCGCATGCCTAGAGCCCATGGTCCGCAACGAGAGAGGCCACCGCCATAAGGGGCCCGTGCACCATGGCGAGGGGTGGCCCCTGCTCGCCGCAACTAGAGAAAGCCCGCGCAGCAACGAAGATCCTATGCAGCCAAAAAAAAAACCAAAACAAAACAAAACATGCACATGGTCTGCAGTTGGGTTTACCCCAGACAGTAATGAACTCTGGGTAAGCCTACAATTCTTAGAATCTGGAAGCCAGAATTTCCAAGAACAAAGATTTCTGAGAGTAGCAGTACCCTGGGATCCAGAAACCACCAGCTTTCTCTCTCCAGTTTGGATTGGGGATGGGAGAGAAAGATAATCCCAGTAAATACGGGCATTTAGCACACTGCTCACTGTTTCAGTATTATCCTTATTTAATATGGTATATATGCATATTTGAGACCATGTATTAACAGGGTATACTTAAGAAATGGTCCCAGTTTCCAGTGGGTAAATTAGGATTAATCAGTAATGATTACATTTGCTGAAAGACTTCAACGAATACAGATGTAGGCTTAATACATTTTACAGAGTGATTTATGATATAAGCTTACAGATCTCTTACTAGTATAGAATATACAGGTGGATATCACTTAAATGGCCTTATTCTCATATGAATCAACCACCTTCCAACCTCAGAGAATTTCAGGTAAAATCATGTTACGTCTAACTCCACAGGTTCGCTCCATTCCTTTACAGAACTGGAACTCTGGTCTCAGGTACCAGGATATTAAGCGGACGGAGGCCCACAGCTCACCATTTAAAGTAAATTACATGTAACTTTCAATGGCAATGGCACTTATTCCACAGCAGCTGTTATACAATTTTCAAGTTGTTATACAAATGTATACAATTTTCTCACCATGCTATTGTTTGACAGCTCTTAGAAGTTCCATAGAGCCATTAAATTACAGATCAAATTATACTGTCCTGTGATTATATATGTCTCATGAACGTAGACAGGTTTACTTCGAACAGCAATCTACGCATGTTCACAAAATGATTTATCATCAAGTGAAAGTGCTCACCGATGTGACGAGAGATGCAAAGACAGAGGACAAAACCCTAACGTGTAGAACTCTGTATCAACAAGTTGGCCATTTCGTGATGCATCATGAAAGGAAACATTTGGTATTATTCCAAAATTGGCAGAAAAGTGGGCAAGTACAGAGCAGGGAGATGGTTATGTATTACACAAAGTGCTCAAAACCCTGGGTCCAAATAAGAGTTTCTTGAGGAGATTTTTATTTCTCAGGCCTGCAAATGGCATTTGTATTATGAGAAATTTATAAGTTAAAACACAAATGCTCAACAACCCAAATTTCTTCAACGACACAAATTTGAGTGTTACAGTCACTGATGAATGATGATGGTGATGACAACATACTGAAGGCCCGCTGTGAATCAGGGACTACACACACACACACACACACACACACACACACTGCTAGTTTTCACAAAAATCCTGCACAATATTTTTTTTTCATTAAAAAAAATTTATTTATTTAGGCCACACCATGCAGCTTGCTGGATCTTAGTTCCCTGGCCAGGGATTGAACCTGGGCCCTCAGAACCTCAGCAGTGAAAGCATGGAGTCCTAACCACTGGACCACCAGGGAATTCCCTACAAATTTTTATTTTTTAAACAAATGAGAAATTGGCCAGAGAACGAATTTTCCCCAGAGCACATAGCTGGTAAAGAAATTGAATCGAGATTTAAACCCTGCACCGTCTGCTTCTAAAGCCTCAGCCTTAGCTCCTTGCCTGCCTGCACAGGTCCACAGATGCACATCTGTCCATCTGGACACGGCTTAGGTTTTCAAACACAGAGCTAAACCTCTCAAAACCATTGAGAACCAGCCACCTTTCCGTGTCAGAGGGAAGGAGGATGTTCCCCAGACCCCTTGTCAGTGGATCGCACTGCAGGCAATTCAGGCCTGGGACCATGGGGGAGCTGTGCCCTCGGAGCCTTGACCGCTGTCTTCCAAAGTCAGGTAACTGCCTCAGCTGGTTTCTTTTTCTTTCTTTCTTTTTTTTTTTTGCGGTACGCGGGCCTCTCACTGTTGTGGCCTCTCCCGTTGCGGAGCACAGGCTCCGGATGCGCAGGCTCAGCGGCCATGGCTCACGGGCCCAGCCGCTCCGCGGCACGTGGGATCTTCCCAGACCGGGGCACAGACCCGTGTTCCCCGCATCGGCAGGCGGACTCTCAACCACTGCGCCACCAGGGAAGCCCTCCGCTGGTTTCTTGAACTGTGCTGAATTTTGCTCACAGCCAGACCCACAGGTTCGCCTTGAGTGGAAGCAGGAGCCTGGGCAGGGAACAGGAAGCTATGGCCAGCACTTCCCTCTCGCCTCCTCAGCAGAGCCCACCTTGGCCTCCTCTTCGGCCTGCAAGGGTGGAAGGGCCTGTGACGGTCTCAGGCCAGAAGTCAGGTCACCTGCTGGATGAGCTTGTGCTATGCTGACCTCCTGGCCCCTAAAGAGCAGTCACTCCTCACCCTCCTTTCTTCCCCCCCGTCTCCCTTGAAAAGTCCCTGAGCTACCCGACTGTGCTCCATATGGGGGGAATATACTCCCTTTAATAAAATATTGAGGAGAGCTACCAAGTGTCCCAGGCAGGCCCAGAGGACAAGAGCAGGACCCCCTCCTAGGACTGTGCCTCCTGCACCTTCCCCGTCCTTGCATGGTCCCAGTTTTTCATGTCCACTTGGCAAACTATCCTCAGAAGGTTGACTGTGTCTTCACAGTGCCCTAAAGGGAGTTGTGAGCTACCACAGTGGCCTTGAATCAAGATTTTCTTGTTTTTGGGGGGGCCTGAGTCATCTCTGCACATTCAGCTCACAGGTCACAAGGTGTGGTTGCACCTGACCCAGCCTAATACCGGCTCCTGGCAAATAAGCCCAAGGAGGTGTGGTGCCTGGGGTGACGTCTTAACGTTTCCTCCTCAGTCTGAGGCTACACGCTGGCTCGGGCCTTTCCACCCACCTGCAAGACACTGCTGGTCCAAGATGGCGCCTGTGCCTAACGTGGTCACACCTTCCTTAGTAGCCCTCCTCCACTCAGAATCTCCTGGTTCACCCCCTCTCTTCCCAGGGAGTTCATAGAGGGATTGTTGCCATGACCCAGAGCGACTCCTACCTGGGAAAAACGTTCACTCATTCATTCAACAAACGTTTACTGAGTGCTGATATCGTGTCAGGCACTGTCCTAGGCACTTGGTAACACCCAAGTTGAAGAGACATCAACTTGATTTGGGAAACCATATCCTCTGATTTTGCTCCCTTCCAAAACATGACTCTGACAGATCCCAGAACATTCCAGAATTGGAAGGGACTTTCCAAATCATCTAAACCATCGGCCCCCTTTTACTGGTCAGTAAGCGTAGGGGCCAGGTCCTAGGTCTCCCAGGCCAGTATTCTTTGCGCTTCCTCATTTACTGTCTATTCTGCTCATTCAGAAAGCAATGCTCTGTGTGACCTTGGGCAAGCCCCTTCCCCTCGCTGGGCCTCAACCTTCTGCCTGAGGACTGATAGAGCTGGATGAGAGAGAGTCCCCAAAGGCCATATCTAAGACTTTCTGGACCTCATCTCATACTACTTTTAAAGACTCTTGGGGTTCACAGTAAACTTTCTCCTTGTGTATGCCACATCTTCCCACCTATAATATATGCTCCTGGGGCAGGGGGCAGAGGCCGGTTTACAGCCCCGGGTCACCCACAGCACTGCAGACATAGTGGGAACTCAATTGTTTTTAGTTGATTGAACCAGAAGAGGCCACGTTGCTTTTTTAAACGTGAGCCACAGGTGAGAAAAAGGCTATTCAGATATAAGATATCACTACTTAAGGCAGTCAAACAAAACTCATCATAGGAAACGCTGAATATAGAATACTGCCATCTCTGATCAAAAGAATGGCAATACCATTCTATTCTACAGATGTCTATTTTTTTTTTTTTATATTTGGGTCCAAATATAAATTTATATATGTGTATATATTTCTTAGCTAGGATCAATTCTTAGTTAGGAACTTAGGCTTTGAAGCATTAATGAGTTCAAGTGTTTTTGTACTTCTCTAAGAGGATTTGCATTTGCTTGCTCTTAAGTGTTACACCAGGGAATCAAGCTCAGACAACACACTCACCAGCCTTTTGACCATGGCTAAGTTACCTAGGCTCTGTGCCTCAGTTTCCTACCTCACAGAATTGGTATAAGGAGTAAAAATGTCAATATGTGTAAAGTGCCTCCTAGTACAATGCCTGGAATGTATGAAGCACTATGTAAACGTCTGTGAAAGAGATTAACCCACATATGTGCTAGTAACACTTACATGGGGGACACAATTGGGAATGAAAGTATAATTACAAATATTCACGATGTTTATGAATTCCAAACACATTCCCTGATGGTTGCAGACGAGAGTTTAGTAATCTGTTGTAAGACGTAATTTTTACACACACATACGTGTTTTCCACAACATGTGAGAAGATTTCCCTTTGGCTGTGGATGCAGAGAAGAGAGTTAACTGCAAGGACAAAAGTGGTAGTAATTTCCAAAGCCACACAGAGGCATTCAGAGAAGATTTCGATCTAGTGATGTCTTTTTTTAAAACTTCTTTCTTTCTTTTTTTTTTTTTTTAAATTAAGCAACATTTATTTTTGGCTGCGTTGGGCCTTTGTTGCTGCGCGGGCTTTCTCTAGTTGCGGCGAGCGGGGGCTACTCTTTGTTGCAGTGCGGGGGCTTCTCATTGCAGTGGCTTCTCTTGTTGCAGAGCATGGGCTCTAAGTGTGCGGGCTTCAGTAGCTGTGGCACGTGGGCTCAGTAGTTGTGGCTCGGGGGCTCTAGAGCGCAGGCTCAGTAGTTGTGGCGCATGGGTGTAGTTGCTCTGCAGCATATGGGGTGTTCCCAGACCAGGGCTCAAACCCATGTCCCCTGCACTGGCAGGCGGATTCTTAACCACTGTGCCACCAGGGAAGTCCCTAGTGATGTCTTTAGTAGGTTCTTCATCTTAATACGCAGACAACTTTGGATTGTCTGCTAATGAAGGAAATCAGTACCAAGGATAAATGGTGATGTGAGGATCAGAATAATCTACACACTGCTAACTAGTTCCCCAATAACTGAGAGTTCCTGGCGCCATCTAGAGGTCAACGTTGCTCCTTGGGCATGCTTCACAGAAGCTGTGTAAACTCCGAGTGCACTTAGGTCTTTCTAAGGCATGTTAGTTCTCTGGTAAGGAGCATCTGCGACTGTGGAAGGATCAGGAAGTGCTATCCCAGAATGTCGGGGTGCCTCTTATAAGTCACCCACATCAAGGCTGGAACCACCACGGTTTAACTCCCCCGGTGCCTACCTGCCCTGGAACGCGAGCCAGCCCTCATCTCCTTAACTGATCACTGGGCTGCGGGTCAAACCCAAAACTGCCTTCCCTCCGCCTAATTATCCCAGGAAATCAAGGCCTGAATCTCACCTGGGAACTGGCCTGTCACCCACCAGTGCCAGCCACTTAGGGACCTGGGCATGGGGCAGGAGCAGGGCCCGAAGAAACAGCACCCGGGCAGCTTCACTCACCACACAATCGTCGATGATTTCCGAGAGCCGTGTCCGGTGTTTCCTCCCCAGCCTCATGATTTTTTTCCACGTGTAGTAGTACTCCACACACTGAGCCACCGTCTTGGACTTCACCTGCCGGGAAAGGCACCTCAAGATCAGCTCCAGCAGTGGGCAGGGTGCAAAGCAGCAAGCTTTTGTGCAAGTTTAAGTTTGTAATAGGCATTAGGTTTATGCAGTTGAATAAAAACATATACATGGTGAAAAATCTCCTCCCCACACCCGTTCTCCATCCATCCATCCATCCATCTGTTCCCCCCATACCCCTGCAACACAGCTGGCCCCTCTTATTCATATCTTGGGTGTCATTCCAGAATTTCTTTACATATATACCAACAAACAGGAAAATATATTCCTCCCCACCATTCTGCCTCACAAAAGGTAGCATACTCTATGTACTGCTTTGCATCTTGACTTTTTTTCGCAAGAAAGCTTGGAGATTTTTTTCACATTCGTCCATAGAGAGCTCGTTCCCTTTTTTAACCCATAAAGCAGCAAATCCTTTTTCAAATGCTTGAATGTATTTGGCTCTCCAACTTGTTGACATTCAAAATCTATTTATGAAAAATGTTCCTTAGTAATCGAACAGGAATATAAGACAAGTTATGACGATAAGAGCTTAGTGTTTGCAGAAAACAAGCCTTGCCCTCTTCTCCCCCAAAGGGGCAAAGATAAATGTGTTTTAAAGAGAAAAACATTCCTTTGTTTAGTTCATAGTGCTCTAAGCTCAAAGTGGGGTTCAATAATGTGGGTTTTCTGGAGGTAGATAAAAAGGCTGGCTGTCCCCTTGGGGGCAGGAACATGGCCACCTGCATAGTGAGAATGAAAAGAGTACCTTCAGAAGTCTGGTCTCCTCAAAGGTGGCCCCTTCATGTCCACCTGATATCATGAATTTCTACATTAGAATCACCCAGGGAGGGAGGATAGAGTCCCAGAGAACCCTTGTTTTAAGTCCTGCATTGCCTGGTGAGCACGACACATAAATCCATCAGGTGCGGGGCCTTTAAGGAATGAGGCTGAGGACAGACCAGTCCCGGGGGAAGGTGACCCAGGAGAGATGGGAGCCTGGGAGCTGCTGGGATAGAGGGCAGCAAAGAGTCCAGTGGCCTCCAGGGCAGAGTAAGTCGGGTGCGAATTCAGATCTGAAGACGGAGGCAAGTTGGAGAAAAAGTCCACCTATTCTGATTCTCATCCAGTCAAGGCCCAGGATTAAGGACAGGAGACATGAACCCGGGACAACACTGAGGCCCAGCCCAGAGCCAATGGCAGCTGTCACCTGGGACCCTGTTCTCTGTGGACCTGAGCATCTTAATAACTCAGTATGGCTCCATCATTCATCATTTTGCTGAAATACTCTTGAATCATTGTAACTTTTGGCCTAAACCATCTCTCAGCCAATTAAGGCCTATTACGTTTATTATGTGCTGGATAAAGCGCTATTTCATCTTTGTGAAATGCTATATATGTAACATGTTATTGTTGTTGTTATTATTATTATGTGGCTGCACCGCACAGCTTTCGGGATCTTAGTTCCCTGACCAGGGATCGAACCTGTGCCCCCTGCAGTGGAAGCTCGGAGTCTTAACCACTGGACCGCCAGGGAAGTCCCTGTAACATATTATTTTTATTAACACTGTCCTTATGATCAGGGGCCCAACACCAGAAACTCTGCTAGGGGGACGGCTCATATTCTCCCTTCTCCAATCCCCCCTCCCCCAGTTCTGTCAGAAACACTATAGATCTGTCAAATACACATGAAATAGTTTATATAAATTGTGAACCAGAAGCCTCAGGTCTATTTATTCTGACAGAATGCATGAATTACACATTTTAATTAAGATAAGAATACCCCTTCCCCCCCCCCGCCACATCCAAATAATCTATATTCTCCTCCCCCCACATCCCTAACACCAGGGCCAAGCCATCCATAACAAATGCCATCCTTTACCAGCAAGAGATGGAAGACATTCTTTTGTTGAGAGTCTTAAGCCAGTAACCAAATAGTTCTATATATCTTTAGGTGTACAACTTCCCAAATTTGGTTTCACGTAAGCAATGGGAAAAAGAATACTTACCATCTTCTGTACAAAAATAAAGTCTTTGTTGTAAGTGGCTAGTGCTTTATTAAACAGTTTTCTTTCTAGGGAGGTCCACTTGTCCGAACCTACAACAAAACACACATTTCATAAAAAAACAGCTCAGTTCTCCTCACTTGTGGTTGCTGGTTCACTTAGTTAAGTTACAAACTACAACTGTTCAGCATGTGATAGAATACATATCACACTCCTTTCTGAACAGGAAGTGCAGTGTAATGGTTAGGAGCCCTGACACCTGGGTTCAGATCTCAGCCGTGGCCTTGACCTTGGCAAGTTATTGAGCCTAAGACTCAGTTTTATTACCTACAAATGGGAATAATTCTGATCGTCTCCACCTCTTAAGATTTCTGTGAAGGTTAAAGAAGGTAATGCCCAAAAAGTGTCTAGCTTAGTAACTGGAAAACCATGAATGCTTAACGGAGTTTAGCTACAGTTTTTTTAATGTAATTAGGATGAGGGCAAGCATTCACGGAGCAAGTGATCCTCACATGTGCTGGATTCAGCAGTCTTCACCCTCAAGATGTTCACAATCTAGTGGGGAGAAAACCAGGAGGCCCTGCATTCAAGGTGATGATTGCGAGGATGAAGGGAGGGGTCGGGTGCCGATAGGGCACAAAGGAGGGACACCACACGCAGGTTAGGGCAGCCGGGAAGGCTTCCAGGTGGAGAGAACACCTGAGCGGGGTTTAAAAAGACACAGAAGCAAGTCAGGCAAGAAGGAGATGGAAGGGAATTCTGGGGAGAGAAAGTGGCATGTGCAAAGTCAGAGGCAAGCAGTGAGAGGACACATTCATTCATTCATCCATTGGGCAGATACTTCTTAGGAGCTTACTACATGCAAGACACAAGGGGGAAAAAAACTAATACTTATAAGTGCTTACTATGTGCCAGGCTCTAAAGTACTTCACAGAGAGTAGTCATTTGGTTCGACAGACAATCTGTAAGATTGATATTACTGCTACCCATTTTACAGATGAGGAAATGGAGGTGTTCAAGAAAGAAGCAGTAATCCAGTACAGCTCGACTACAGGGTTCCAGCAGAGGGAAAGTAGATGAGGCTGGGAGGTGAGAGGGACCGGTTCCTGACGAATCTGCAGACCAGTGAAGAAGAGGCCTTGCAGTGCCGGGCTGGTGCATCTTGCCTTGCTGGCTGAACTTGACATTCTCGTCAAAGCAGGATATGCAGATGTTTACAGAGAATGGTACTGGCCTATTTCCAAGGCAAGTCCTACTTCTGGGGGCTCAGTCACTGTGGCTGGTTTGCAGAAACTCGGCCTCATTCTGATTTTTTGAATTCCCTGTATCTCTGATTCTTTGGATGGTACATGGCTGGGCTTTTGATAAGCCTCTACTTTTCAGAGCTGTAATCCCCCAAACTATAGTATTTTTCCTTCCAACCAGAACAAGCCCAAGTTTTCCATTTTGCTATGCTTGACGGAGGGGCTCAAGTAAGAAAACCTGAATTGCTTCTTCCCTCGAAAGGTTGAGCCCAAATCATTCAAACAAGTGAAACCACGCCTGGCAGGCAGGCAGGAGACAGACAGCCTCGGGTCCTTGAGAAAATACGTGACTCAGTGATGTCAGCTCAGATTTCTGAAATAAACACCTTCTCTGTGCGACTCCCTGATGGGTCCTTAAGCCAAGAGCTCTGGCTCCAGATGTAGGATATGCTCTCCACAGCTGGGCTGCTTCAGGCCCCTATAAAAGTAGGGCCACCACCTGATTTCTTTGGTTTGTTTCTCTCTTTAATTCTAGAAGGAAAGCAGCTTTCTGATTAACCCTCGGAAGAAGGAAGCCTCTTCCACGGGTTCTGGAGACCAGGACATCTCTGGTTGCGCAAACCACCATAACAGGGAGAAGTGGGGCCAGAGGTTCGGAGGGGCTTTGCTAGAGTGGATGTGAGCAGAGCATGTCGGTGGGGTTTGGAGCTCTGGAGCACCGGCATCACCATTCCTCAACTTCTGTCTAACGCTCAAGGGCTTCGGGTCCCAGCTCCCGTTTGCTCCCCTTGCCCAGAGGCAGAGACAGAAAGAGCAAAACAGAAAGGCTGAACCAACAACTGAAAGACCAAAGAAGAGTCATGGCTCCTTTTAGGTATCCATTGAAACAGCAAAGAGAGATCAGAGAGGCAATGGTGTAAGAGGACCATGATGGGGACATGTCACACTAGCTGAGCCCCTGGACAAGCATATAGGGAGGTTGCTGTGCTGCCCTGATACAGGTCCAGTCTGTGCAGCTCTGGGTTGCACCTCACATAGGAAGTTAGGGAATATTTTGCTGATGAAAACCCCCAATTAGATGAATGAGAATCCTTTCCACCCTCAGCCAGATCCTATGTTTCCCAAGTCAGAGCGCAGCTCAAAGCCCCGGTGAGACACTCACAGGGCCACGCAGCCTTCTCAGGCCAGCACCCAGCCTCTATGGTGGACACACTTTCTTCCACCCCACGCCAAGCTTGTCATCTGATTACTATCCAAACCGCAGTGTTAAGTCCCCAGGTCTGTTTACTTGTGAGAGGTATGTCCCTACACATCCCCAGATGGCCTTCCAGCTGTAACCCCACAGAAGGTGAAGTGGCCTCCTGGACCATCTGTTATGGGGGATCCTCAAGCCTCATGGGGGAAGGAGGCCTTCTCTCCATCAACTCTTTGGTGGTGTTTAGGGCTGCTGCTCTGTGATGGGGTCTTTAGTCTTCCCAATCCCAGAGTGTCCACTCGACACCACCAGTCCTGGATTGGAAGTGGGCTACACCCTCGCAATTTCCTCTCTGTGCTGCCCCCGACCTGAGGTGCTCGGATGGTGAGAGATGGCTCCTCTACGTAGTCCTAGGGTCTGCGCTTTAGCACACGCGACTGTGCTGTGCGTGCGTGTCTGTCCAACAAGGGTGTCCACAAACTGAGAGGCAGAGGCGGGGCCAGACAAGTCCATCGGTTCTCACACTCCATCTTCACTGCACCCTGATCATGGGATTGCCCACAGGACTGAAAATCCACTCCTGGGCTCTTGGGCTGCATTCCCAGGCTGAAGCCGGGTATATAGACATAATATCTGGATGTGCTTGCCCCAAATAATAAAGTCACTGTGCTGTGATAAAAGGGGTGACTTGAAGCAGGAGACCACAGGCTGCGAACCTGGTTCTGCCACTCACTCCTTCTGGGGCCCGTGCAAGTTTACTTCTCTGAGTCTCAGTTTCCTCTTTTGTGACTCGGGGATCCTGACGGTCATGCTGTGATTGGCAGCGTTTAGTCCGAAGTATGTGCACAGAGAATGCTTCAGATCTGGCCACTCGGACGGCAGATCCCAAATCAGCCTGCAGCCGTGGGACACACGCTGTCCCCTGCTGACATCTGTGGGCACTCATGAAGCCTGCCGGTCCCTGCAGCATTCCCTGTCGTGTGTGGGCTCACCCACAGCCTTACTCTGGGCTACCTGTAACTTGCAGCCTTCTCCTCCCTGCCCCGAAATCCTCCTGTAATCCAGACAAGGCTCAGCGTCTCTCCTCCTGGGGTCTGTCTGGCAGGAGCATTTTCCTCATTCTTGGACAAGGTTTTCTAAGCCAGCCCTTCTTGGATTCTATTTCTTGAACAAAGTCCAGGATAAAATGCAAAAGCGAGGCAGGGGGCTGCCCCAACTCCTCACCTGCCCTCCCCCTTTGAGATCCCTGCTGTCCACTCAGCATGTCCCTGGGGTTGATGGGCTGATGACACACCCTCCCTCCCCACCCCCAACCATTATCCCTGGGGATTCCTGGCTAGTGGGCTATTATGAGCAGGGGTCCCTAACAAGACGATTAAGGCTAATTACAAAGAGCCTAATTAACTGGAGGAAACTGGTGCTGGAACAGTATCCAGAGGAAAAATGTTCTGAGCTTCGGTTGCTGGGAAACAGGCTCCGGATGGTGGCGAAATTTGGGGCAATCTATAGCGAATGCAGGCAATTAAAAAGAGACGTGGAGGGGTGAGAGAAAGTTTGGGCACAGTATGTTTTAAAGAGGGGCTTTCTGTCTTCCTTTCAAGCTTTTAAAAACTGTTCTCGATGCTGTTGTTATAGCAGTTACATAAGAAAGACACGTTCATTGTAGAAAAAGGAGGACCTGTTTCTACACCAGATCTTCATTTCCGTGAAAGGTTTTCCATGATGGGTGAAGACTGAGTAATTTTTTTAGGGGTGCAGGTGAATCGGGTAATACCAAAGTTCCCTCTGGAGGCCAAAGGCAGGGAGGCCTTGATCTGAATCCAGAACCTGAGCTTGTCCACTAGCCTCTTCTCCACAAGTGCCACGTCAGGCAAAGCAGCAGAGTGAGTATTAACTCCGTTCCTGCCCTTCAGGGGATCACTCTCCAGCTAGCAACATGGGCTAAGGATGCCTGTGAGATGACTTCACAGCTGCGCTTCTTACAAAGTATTCTCTGGAGAACGTAATTCTGTCTCTTCACCAAACTGGGGCAGCTTCCGAGACAGAGACCAGGCCTCCCCCCGACTGAACGGGTATATTCCCTCCAGGTCTCTCCCATCTCCGGAGTCAGGTCAGGGCTCAGGACCCAGTGAGCGCTTGGGCTATGGTGGGGGCCCACAGTAGCCTCTGCTGAACCCTTGCCAAGACTCCCAGGGCCAGGTCTGACACCCCTCCACTCCGTGCCCATCTGCAGGAACTACCGGCTCAACGGAAAAACCAAAGACGCCGGAAGCTCTCTAATCACAACCAGGCATCCTTGTCACCCTGACAGACCCACACTCAAGCCTTCCCCACCCAACCCAACCGCTGACTGGGAGCCACTGCAAACAACCGCTGCCACTTATGGGCGGAGGGTGTGGAGAGAGGTCTGGACCGGGTGTGAATTAGAGAGCCTGGGGGCCACTGTGACAGCCCCCTTCCTCTGAGGATCTTAACAGGACTCTTCCGGGCTTGCCAAGCTGCCCACCTACAGTGATGTCTCTCCTGGGCCCCAGCACTGGTCGCTCTTTCCTTTTCTCACTGAACTGCTTGGGATGGGATGGGATGGGGTGGAAGGGCAGGTCAGGAGGGAAGTGATTTTCACAGGCTCCTGTCACTGTCTCCCCCAATTCACAGTCTGCACCCCTGAAACCAGTCTTGCCACCTTCCCTCCAGGGCACAGGCTGGGGAGGTCTGACCTCTCTCTAGACAACTGGAAGCCTGGGGTGCAATTCCAGGGCCGGAGTCGGGCGGGAGTGACACTGGCCACAGCCGCAGAGCTGGAAGCAAAGGAGATTTCAGAAGACAGTGTCCCAGCAAGGCTGGACCTCAGCTGACAGTCCTGCTGGAGAGCAACCCAAACAGGGCTTGGCACGAAGGCCAAGGCAGGACGGGGCCACGGGGGTGGGATTCACCGACACCCGGAACCAGTCAGAGGGTGGGGTGGTTAAAAGGGCGGAAGGCGGTCGCGGCTGTTAGCTGGGGCACGTGACGGGGGTAGACTCTGTGGCCTCCTCTGTGTTCTGGAAGGGAACCGCCAAGGGGATGGAGTCAGGCCAGACTTCAGAGATCTGTGACCTTTGTCCTTTGTGCTCATAATTCTAGAAGATTCTCTGGGACCCAGTCTGTGATCAGTTCCTGGAGAAGAGAGATTACTGGCAGACCTAGGTGAGCACCCTTTTCTTGGGGACACACAGCTAATGGGACACCAACCCTTCACACCGGACAGCTCCACCTCTCTTGTCTCCAAGGGTCAAAAGGATTCTGGAAGCAACAAGAGTGCTTCCTGGTCTGCTTATAGGGAAAGGGCGCAAGGGATGGGCAAAGGATTTCCCAGGAACCCCCAACTCCCGAAGATCACTGAATTTTAGCAGAGTTTAGGGCCTTCTAGTTTCAAAGCTTTTAGTACTATTTTAAGGTTGTTTGGTGTTGTTTGGGGTGGAGGTGGTCTCTAGCCCATAGCTTTCCCGTCTCTTTTATGTCATGACACACACTAAAAAGATCACAATACCTGCTTGGCATGCTGGGAAGAACTGGAGGGGATTTGGGGCCCAGACAAGGCTGCTCACAGCTGGAGATGAGCAGCCCAGAGGCGCCGCCCACCCCAGTCACCCCAGGGGCCGAGGGCAGCCACAGCAGATGCCAGGGAAGTCTCCTCGCTAAGCAGAGAAGCCTGACCCAGGCTCCAGGAGGCTGGACGGCCCGTCAGGGTTTAATGGGCAGCAGATGACGCTGGGAATTAAGAGGATTGAATTGTTTCCATGGCAGATTAGAGAGAACTCCCACATCTTCTACCCACACTTGGGGCAGACACCAAGCAGGAAATGATGGAGACAGTATTAAGAAACTGGCTCCTTGAGGCCATGGGGTTACATGATGGATTTCTTATCCAATGTGTCCATTCTGTGCTTGCCTAGTGCCAGCAGCAGCCTGTGTGCCGGGAGCGATCCACAGGCAGGCATCCCGGGCTTGCTGTGCTCAGGTGAGTGGCTTCTGAGGCCTTTCCACCCTGTGATGACAGGCAAGAGGGCCAACTCGGGAGAGGAGCCCGTTCTGCAAGGCAGACGGTGGTGGGGTCACAGGGAGCCCCCTGAGAACACGCCGGAATCTGCAGAACAGCCCTCACCTGAGGCCACATCTGGCCGCCTGGACTGAGGACTGGAAAAGGTATTTACTGGGTCCCCAAGGCCACTGAAGTACTTAGCACCCATCTACGCACGGTCCCCCCAGGCACCAGAGACACCTTCAAATGATTAACAACCAAGGGGCATTGGAGGACCCAGCCCTCTCTGAAACAGAGAACCCAGGCAGGTGCGTGGAGACCTCCAGAATGGACAGCGCTACTGGTTAACGGAAATACAAATGTTGACTCCAACTTCATTGTCACCGCAGGTTCCCCAGCCTGTTTCACTCTCTCTGCACGACTCTAACTCCATTCAACTCTCCAAGGTGTGTCCTCTTTCCCTCGTACTGGTGATGCCATCGTCAATCAACCCCCTCCTAAGAGAGACTCGTATGTATATGTACGTGTGTGTGTACGTGTACGTGTATCTGTGCGTGCACACATATACATGTGCACGTACACGTCTTTCTCCCGCCATTAGTGATCCGTCATTTAATAACTGCCTACCCCTCAGACTCCAAACTACACAGGACAGGACTCTGTCTACATCTGTCACCGTCACTTCCCCCTCTTAGTGCTAGGCACAGTTTCCTGTACATAGGAAGTGCTCATTAACTGTTCAACCAATGAATAATAAAGCTACTAGACTGTGCCAGGCATTGCACTCCATATACTCTCTCAAATCTTCACAAAGTCCTGCAAGGGATGGAGTATGAGCCCCACTTTACAGGTGAGGAAACCAAGGCTGCAGAAGGCCACGGGGTGCAGGCAAGATGTGAACCCACATCTACTGATCCCAAAGCCCAGGGGCCGCTGCGTGCTGTTGCCCCTGTGGTCTACCCGCTGTGGCTCTTCCTCCGGGTGCACCGATCTCACTGCTGCACGTGCGGGCCTTGTCCCCTCGTCCAGCTCTTGGCACACCCATGAGGGGCAGGCCCAGACAGACAAACGCCCGACAGCGACCAGCCAGCCGACACAGCTGCCCCACCACCTACGCCCCAGAGGCCTTGAGAGCACAAGCGGCGCTGAGGACAGAATGGGTGCTATCTGTTATTAAAAGGGGACACGACCAACACGCAGACAGCCCGCTCTCGGGAAGCAAGGGGGCACAGGGCTCCGGGCAACCTACCGGCATAGTGGTAATTTGCTAAAGGGTGACATTTTAACCTGACTGGCTTCCGCAGCAGCAGCATTTCCAGAGCAGCCTGCAGACCCGTGGGAGAGAAAAGGCGAGAGTCAGTCACGGGGCTTGTGTCCTCAGAAGACCATCTGCCTAATGGGGAAAACGAGCCAGCATTGCAGGGCCCGGGGTTGGGGGGCTGGAAGGAAAAACAGAGGAGACTCCCCGATTTGGGGTCTTCCTTCTGGTCAGCACCCAACAGGACTCATCATCCTAATACCTCCTCCGCCCATGCCTGCAGCCAGCTGGTCTTGTCCCAAAAACCCAGGTGGCAGCCAAAACCCACTCCTTCCTTGGTGAGGGCCCCAGCTTCAGAGATACGGTGGAGCCTCCTCTGTTTGGAGGCTGAGTCTCTAAGGAAATGAGTGGGTGACTTGGAACTGTTTTTGCAGAAAAATCACATGTTTCATTACAACTGAACATCAACAGCTATATTAGTAATAACTGTACTACATACTGTCCTTCCAGGGAGCCTTGCTAAATAACCCTTTCAAATCTAAGTCCCTCAGCCTCACTGAGTTTGTTAAAAAAGTGGTGCAGGTGGAGTTGAGCTGTGGATGGTTTGGGGATCTCAAATCTTGCTACTCCAAGTGTCGTCCATGGACCAGCAGCACGGGTATCCCCTGGGAGCAGGTTAGAAATGCAGCACCTTGGGCCCCACCTCCAGAATTGCTGAATAAGAGCCTGCATTTTAACAAGACTCCCTAGGTGATGTGCGTGCACGTTAACAGTTTGAGAAGCACGGCTCTGCGGCACTGATCTTAAAAGGTCAAGGAGAGTTCTCCAACATTCTAGAGAACCCTTGAAGGGCATCAGTAATCTCATGAAAAGGTAGTATTGGGACATTTGTTCACCTTCACATTTTCATAAAATCAAAAAAGCAGGAGGTTAGCTCTGGTATAAGAATCATGTATTTACTAAAGGGGAAGCTGAGGCTAGTGACGAAGTGCTCCAGCCAGGGGTCCAGGTTGAGCAGGCAAATGGTCAGCTCTGATTCTGGGAAAAGGGCACCAAAGTTCTGGTTTGGGGATGCCAGAGAACTGTGCCAAAAGTGGAAGAATGACACCAGATGGTGCACAGCGAACATTTCACTTTGGTTAGGGGAGCAAACGGTTCTATGAACGTCAAACTCTGGCTGATTTCCAGGTAGGGAGGAATGACAAGCAGAGTATGACAGGCTATTTTAGGCCAAGCCTTGCTTCAGGAAGGCCTTCTACTTCCATCACTGCAGACCTGTTCCCCGATGTGAATTACAAGACTGCTGAAAAGAAATTCTAGTTTCCCAAAACAGATGTTGCCATCATTATTACTTAGGAACAGATGTGTAAACAGAAATCCAACTGGAGGTTTTCTGCAGGCTTTCAAATCCTGGCCTACTCATTGAGATAAGGAACATGGGAGGCACACCAACTGGCCATCATCTTAAGAGTTGGTTGTGAGGGGCATGAAACAACACAGAAACTTGGTAAAATACTTTTCAGAATTCCGACATGAAGCATATGAACTGGGAAGCCTCCTTTTCACAGTTCCTTACCATCACATCACCTTTGGCCTCGAAGAGAGAGTGCAAAGCAAATTCAGAATTGGTCCCTCCACCTGGCAACGCACTCGAACAGCACAAATTCAGGAGATTCTCCACTGTTGGGAACAAAGAGAGGCCACTGCATCAGAAAGAGCTCAGGGTCACCGGAAAGACAAACCGATCCTGGAGCCAGAGGCCCCCGGGAGAGGATCCAGCCCTTCCTGCCCAGTTCTTCCCCTGCTGCCAATACCTCTTTGCTGGAAGTCGTGGTTTTCCAGCTCTGGCCAGGGCTTCCATACCAGTGTGGCCTTGTGTGTGTCCTGGGCCAGGGCAGAGACATCCTGGAGTTCCGGGATCTCCGCTTGGAATCTCAAGCCAATGTTGATGCGTCTTTAATCACAAGAAGAAAAGCAACAGTGTGGTCTTCAATTTGAGACCAAGGGCAACTGTCAGGGACTTGAAAAAGAAGGAAGCCGGTTCCTTCTGCAAGCAGAATGCAGGGGCACTTCCTCACAGGGTGATCTGAAGATTCCAGGCGTGGCCTTTCCACTGGGATAAGGAATAGCTTTACGATTGGGGAGAGATGCTGTGGGGAGCAAGGGAGAAGCCTGCCTGGGGCTTCAAAGCTCCCTATAACTGGGAGAGGGAGGGTCCTAATTCCAAGGGAACGGCTGCCCAGAGCACGGCCGAGGGTACCACTTAACCCAATGGGACAAATACGAAGTGCTTATTCCATTTTTTAGCCCTTTCAGACCACATTCACATAAAGGATCCCATCTGAACCTCACCAAGACCTGTGATGTAAGCAAGGCAGTGATAATTATTCCTACTCAATAGATGAATTAACTAAAGCTTAGAAAGGTTAACTTGATCAAGATCAAATAACAAAACGGTGCTGGAACCAGGTTTCCTGATTCCTGACTCAATCTACTCACCACTCTACCATCTGGCCTCTTCTGTGCTTATCCATGAAAATAACCAGCTTTCTCTTCCATTATACCCCCCAACTCAATTACTCAACAAGGCCACTTGGAGGATCAGCTAAGAATCTTAGGGAGGGGCTGGGGGATCAAGGGCATTTGGATGGAGCCTCGTGGAGAGCTAGGCACCCTAAGACAGATGTCTCAATGTCACTGGGGATGTGAAGGCATGTGGCCCCAACCAAACTGGCTCACGGAGCCACAGATGGGGACGCCTGGTTCTCCAAACACAAGGCTCCTTGCTTTTAATGTGTTTAGTCTTTAGAAAAGGCCTTGAAATACTGGCAATTACAGGGAAACAACAGTACTTGAGAAATACCACGATCCTACATTTTTTACAACTTCTTGCCCAGTGGCCACTCTGATCCCAGAAGCACTAGCTACACTTCTCAAAACTCCCCATCCCTTTTCTAGGCTGAGGCTTCTGTTCTAAAGAATAATTGGCTTTTCCTTACGGTTCGACATCAACGGTCTGCTCTCCAGGCCCTGGGGTGACTGTCACGTTGCTGCCATCGATGCTGTCTGAAGCACAAAAACCAGGGGTCACTGGTCAACAGGGAAGGGTACTGAAGAAACTAAATGAGCAGTTACCTAAACAGTCATGACAGGGCCCCTCTCCTACCCAACCCATGCCAGAGTTACCCCAGCAGTCTCCGAGGAGTTGGATGGAATGTGGAGCAACATGGCTTAGCGTTTCCCCACTTCTCACACAGGGTAAGGAGTGGCCAGCTGCCCCACTCTGGTCTGCTAAGCTTTTTATTTATTTATTTTTAAAATTATTTAAAAATAATTTTTGGCTGTGTGTGCGGGGCCTGTGGGAGCCTAGTTCCTCGACCGGGGATTGACCCCAGGCCCTCCGCAGTGAAAGTATGGAGTCCTAAGCGCTGGGCCGCTAGGGAATTCCCCTGTTAATTTGTCTTATTTCTATGAAACTATTCTTGCTCCAGAAAGAGATCCTGGCTACATGCCTCTCCTGCTTGATCTTTTTTTTTTTTTTAAAATAAATTTATTTTTTATTTATTTTTATTTTTAGCTGCATTGGATCTTCCCTGTGGTGCATGGGCTTTCTCTAGTCGTTGTGAGCGGGGGCCATTCTTTGATGAAGTGCGCAGGCGGTGGCTTCTCTTGTTGCGGAGCACGGGCTCTAGGCCCGTGGGCTTCAGTAGTTGTGGCACACGGGCTCAGCAACTGTGGTTCGCAGGCTCAGTAGTTGTAGTGCATGGGCTTAGGCGCTCCGCGGCATGTGGGATCTTCCCGGACCTCGGCTCGAACCCGTGTCCCCTGCATTGGCAGGCGGATTCTTAAGCCCTGCCCCACCAGGGAAGCCCTCCTGCTTGATCTTTACACAGCATGCTAAAATGTGAAGGTGTGGTCTTGCATATAATCCCATTTGTACATCTACTTAGTACATTTATTTTTTTATTTTATTTTAATTTTTTTGCGGTACGGGGGCCTCTCACTGTTGTGGCCTCTCCCGTCGCGAAGCCCAGGCTCCGGACGCGCAGGCTCAGCGGCCATGACCATGGCTCACGGGCCCAGCCGCTCCGCGGCACGTGGCATCCTCCCGGTCCGGGGCACGAACCCGTGTCCCCTGCATCGGCAGGCGGACTCTCAACCACTGTGCCACCAGGGAAGCCCCTACTTAGTACATTTATTTTGGGTGTCTTACACGGTTATCCACAACACACTTCAACTGTTTTTCCTTATCCCAAAGAAACACTGATTATCGCTCTACGTGTTAGTCTCCGCGGCTAGACTGTGTTTCCCCTGAGAAGTATCCTAATTATTTCTAGCCCCTAGCACATTGCCTGGTACACAGAATCGAGCCACCGCCAAGGTCTGTGGAAAACGAGACGACAGAACGCGAGGCCTCCTGGGGCAGCACCCAGCACAGTCGGGGCGCCGCCCCTGAGGTAGCGGAGGCGGGGACAGGGGCGACTCACTGGGGCGGCAGAGCAGCACGCGAGGCGTGGGCGTGAGGGGCGTGAGGGGCAGCTGCGGATGCGCGCCGGCGCCGTGGCCGGAGATGAGCACGTTGCTGAAGAGCCCCGAACCCTGGCGCACCGGGCTGAGCATGGGCGGGGGCGTGTAGGGGGGCAGCTCGTGGGCGGGGTCGAGGAGCAAGTGGTCGCCCAGGACGCGCGGGGAGCGCAGCTGGCTCTGGTACAGGGTGGCGCCAGAGTGCGAGGCGGCGAGGTTGGGGGTGTAGGAGGGCGGAGGCGGGATGAAGAGCGGCTCCGGACGGTGCCGGAACTTTTTCTTCTCCGGCGCGGTCTTGAGGGCTTCCTCAGCTTTGGCCAAGCCTGGCTGATGCTTCTTGGGAATTTCCTACAACGGGAAGAATGATCCGATTCAAATACTTGGGCTTTTCCCACAGGCGCTTTCCACAGGCTGAGGGAAGGGGGACTGCTGTCCTAACGGGGACCCCTCCCCCCTTCCACTCGTCTGACCCCAGCATCCTCCGCCTTCAGAAACGGCCACATCCACTTCAGACAAGGCGAGATCTGGCGGCTTGATTAGGGAGAAAACTTTGGTTTTGGAGGAAATCCCTCATGTCTGGAGAGGGATGGGGGTGGTAGGAATAGTGGGTGGGCAAGAAAGAATATATTCACATTCTTTATTGCTTATCACTGCATTCCCATCTGGTGAGTGGAATCCAGCTGAGAGGGCCCTTTAATTCCCCACTGCTCCCCGGGGACTGACATCGGGGACAGATAACACATGTTCTGAGGCGGCGACAGAAGAATCTATTCAGGGAAGCTGGGCAGAGGCTGTGGGGCAGGAAGAGGGGGTCAGGCCTTGGCCAAGGCTCCCAGGGCCAGTGACCCGCACTGGGCTCTTCTTCAAGGTAACCTTAGGGTTGAGGAGAGCCATCCCGGATCTCTGAGGCCCGTCTCATGTGCTCTCCTAGACGTGGATCTGGTGAGCCTCCCCGCCTCACCACCCCTCATTACTGCTCCCAGCACTGGTGGCTTATCTGTGGCAAACCCTTCTCGTAGGTTGGTTTCCTGTCAGCAGGGTTAGTTTATTTTATTCCAGCAGAACCAAGCATCTTCTGGAAGGAAGATCTGCCACATGGATACAGATATACTAATAAGTAAACACACGCACGGAAAGAGATAAGCAGGGCATGCCAAAGCCAAACGCAAACAGTCTTGGTTGTGTGCCAGCATCAGCCCACAAAACCCGAGAGCTGGGTGCGGCTGGAGAGGCAGCCGTGCGGTTGGGAGGGGCTGTGAGGATACCTGCAGAAAAGTTCTGGGCAGTCTGTGGTCCCCTCCCAGGCCCTGCAGGCCAGTGCTCGTCACAGCTGTGGTCCCTGGCAATCCCTGTGCCCAGGGTGGCGCCTGAGTAGGAGGCAGCAGGGGGTGATGGGAAGGGTCGGCCATGGTCACGTGACCAGCCTCCTCCAGGCCATGTGACCTGCCCCAGTCACCCCTCAGCTCTGGGCTCCTCCCCCTCAGGGCCCCTTCTGCTGCCTTCAGCACGTCAGGCTGCCCCTCGTGTCTCTCCCTCAGCTTCATCATCTTCTGGGGTGCCGTCCCAGCCCCTAGGAGGGGAGTCTAGGGAAGCAGAAAGGTGAGGAAAGGGGGAGGGGCAGCGGGGACCCCCAGGCCCCCGGGGGGCTCTCCTTAGGTCAGAGAGCCCCAACCTGCTTCCTTTCCCCACCAGGGGGCTCCTCACCGCCTGAGGCTGAGGTGGAGAGAGGGGGCTGAGGAATGGGAAGAAGGTGCACGTGCCCCCAACTTGGGGAGCCATCCTGACACTTCACATCTGGTTCCTGGGTAACGGATGGGGTCACCTGAGGACCCCGAGTGCCTTCAACCCTGCACTGGGATCCAGACCTCTGACCACAGGGCCAAAGGTCCCTTTCGGGCTCTCTCTACTTGAGCCTCTGGGTTCTGTTACAACAGCTCTATTCTGGGACTTTCCAAGCCTCCAGGCAAGGCTCTGAGACCCTGGGCCAGGGAAGGCCCCCGGAATATCAGACCTGGATGTCAGGTGGGAGGAAGCATTTACAGAGTTCCAGCCAAGCTGGAGACAGGGCCAAGCGCTGAGGGGTTTTAAAAGCTCCCCAGAGAGGTGACAGTCACTGAGGAGGCCAACACCACCCCCGCCCCCCAAACCCAGATCAGGGAGAAACTGAAGTTCTGCGAGGGGAAGGGTCTCAGCTGGCTGCATCCCAGACGGCTAGGAGCAGAGTGGGGATTAAAACACAGGGCTCCTACTTGGACATTTTGATTTCTTTATATTAAGTGTCAGGACCTTGCTCACACTTACTCAAGCCCTACCTACACGCTTCCATATCGGCTTATCTCCTCACAGTATGTCTCTCACCCTTCCCACAAAACCAAGTTCACCTCTGCCTTGGAACTCCCCTCGTGACGATCTTCTGAGCAAACTCACGTCAAACTTCCCTTGCCTCATCCCAGTCCCTAATGACCTTAGCTCCCCAGGTATGTCCCCCACCAGCCACACGCAGGGCATTGCTGCCTTGCTCTGTCTTGAACTGGGGCGGGGCTGCTGCCTGGGGCTCTGACCCCTGTGTGACTACGATCCTTACTTTCTCCAGCTTCAGGCTGAGAGTTTCCAAAGGGTAGAAACAGCATCCCTCCCACCAAATGAGGAACTTCCCTGGGCAAAGAGGGGGCTTGGCCGTGTCGTTTCATCTCTCTGCCTGTTGCCGGCCCCCAAGACCTGCCAGCTGATGAGAATCCTCGCCTCCAGAGGTTCTCCACCTGTCTTTCCTCTTTTGAGCTCTGATACTACATAGAAAACCAAAAAGGCTCTTTCTGGATTTTTCTAGTTCTCTTAATTATCCTCCTTATCCCTATTCTGGCCCAACCCCACTCGTGTCTCCTGGAATCCCAGCAGCTGCCTATTCTGTGAGGACAAATGTGACTCAGCAGCTACTCTGTGGGGAGGGGACACATCTGATGTAGTGAATGGGTTACAGACTCCCCAGGGGAGGGGTGGAGGGAGGAAGAGGGGGGAGAGGGACAGAGAGAGAGAGAGAGAGAGGGAGAGAGAGAGGGAAGGAGAGGGAGAGAGATCTCTGTCCCAGAGCCAAGCTAAGCTGCTTGGGTGATGTGCTCGGAACTTGAGAAAGAGAAGAACAGTGAATAAGAAACACAAATCTCTTTGCTTTCTTGAGATTGGGGGGTGGGTGTCTCAGGGGAATTACTTTGGGAGTCTTAATGAATCCGGTCCTCTGAGGGTATTCATTTACACAGGGGTGATACTGAAAATATTAAGCATGTGGTAAGGCTGACTGACCATCAGAATGGATGCCAGCGCTACTGCCTGGAGGACCTGCTGTGCCAGGGGTTGCCTCTTTGGTTGCTGGATCTGGGGAGGTCTGGAGATCCTGGGGGAGGGGCCAGGACCCTGGGCAGTAGCTATGTATTATCTGGGATAGTACTTCCATATTTTAATAACTGTGATCACCAGCTGAGTTATCACCTCTGTTTAATCTAGGAACATCTTCGGGTCTCTCAGAATCTAACCCAGACCATTAGCCTGGTAGAGTGCCAGGTGTTTACTGGGTGGCACGCAGTGCGGACACGGATGGGATTCCCAAGGTGGCCGCGGGGGGCTCAGCCCGGAGAGGCCAAGCCACGTCTGAGCTCAGGCCAGTGGCCCTGGCAGAGCTGTCCCCATCTCCAAGAAAGCAAAGGGATGTCCCCACCCCAGGCAGGCAGGGCAGAGCAGCAACTCACAGCAGGCGGGTGGGGGGCAGCCCCTTGGGGTGAGTGTGGGGGAGAGAGGGTCATCCTCACGAGCACGGGCATCTCGTCGTCCGACATCGAGCTGGCTGGCTTGTCTCTGGCTGAGGGGGCGGCAGCGACGCTGTTGGCGAAGCCCTGAGAGCTGGGCTTGGGCGGGAGAAGCTTGACAGGGACAGACACGGGCATGACCATAGGCGTGAGGCTTTCCGCCTCGGGTGGGAGCTGCGGTGGCGGCGGAGGCGGAGGCGGCAGTGGCGGCTGAGGCGGAGGCGCCGGGGCCTTCTCTCCTTCCTCCTACACAGACAATAAAGGCTTTGATCCTGGGCTGAGAGCAGCTCTCATGGGGGGGATGCACTTTGCTCTTCCTGAAACGTTCCTGGACATCACGCGTGGGTGACAGAGAACCGCTGCAGGGTGGTTTCCTTCCTGCCAGCCTGAGTCCCTCGGCTCCAGTGATGCCCATCGGCAATGGACAAGGCACTTGATTCTCTACATTAAAAAATCTTGACCGTGTATCACTTGTATATTAAAACAAATAGTGAAGAAAAATTTTTGTGTGGCTGTCATTGCTTTTAAAGAAAAGGACATGGACTTAGAATCAGACCAAAAAAAAAAACAAAAAACACACAAGCTCTTGTGCAGGACCTTTTAATTCTATGGGCCTCACTTTACTCATCTGTCAAATGGAGGAAAAGCTCTTTTAACTGGCATGGTCGGGAGACGGAGTGACCTGGGTCACATCAAAGTTTTTGGTGAACAGAGTTAATCCCATAGACTTAAATTAAGATGAACAGCATTCAAAGAATTGAGAAAGTTCTTTGAATTTTAATCTAACTCTAAAACTGCGTGGGTAGTTCACCACAAGGGTATCCTACTTGGATAATCCTAAGGGCATTTAAAGGCCTTCGGACGCTAGAGTCTACCACTAGTGCCCTGGTGAACAGAAAATGCTGGCTGGGAGCCCGATGGTCACACTAGCTTTCCCTGGCCATTGACTATGGATCTGGAAGGCCCAAGGGACCCTGGTCTTGAGTACTTGAAGAAGCGGAAGTTGAAAACAATAGCGCATCAACATGTTTTCTTTGCTGTCTTCTCCAGGAGCTGGAGAGGCTGGGATCCCCTAAAAGGATTTCTACCACCTCAGTTCTGGACTCTTGTTCCTGAAGCCAGTGGAAGCGGAGACTGTGTGACCTGGCTGGCTCCCAGCGTCAAAGCTTGAGTACTTTCGTTAGGGAAGGGCTATGCCTCCTCAGGTTCCCCGAGTGGGGCTCACATCACCCTCTGATGGCAGCAAAGCAAAGCAAGCAGCACATGGCCTGGGAAGGACCGGGGGCTGACTCCTCCTCACCTGTTTGAGGCTGGGGGAGGCCCTCATCCCCCCGTGGGACCGCATGTGGCCGTTCAGGGCAGGCAGACTCTTGAACTCCTTCAGGCAGATGGAGCATGTCAGCTTGTTCTTGGCATCAAACTGCTCCCCAAACACTCCTTTTGGTTGGCCACTGCTCAAGGGTAGGACCAAGTGGAGAGGACACACACATTGATGACGGGAAACAGTGACTCATCACAAGACCTCACACCCTACAATGAACCCATTTCATTCATCCAGAGCTCCCATGGCCATGGCCCTACTTGTATTACCCCAATTCCCTTCAGAGAACTAAGCCCAATTTGCAGATGGAAAACTGAGGCTCAAGAGTAGGAAAGGGCGTGCTCAAGATCATGCAAGAGTTGAACCAAACGTCTTTCTTCATTCCAGGCCTTCAGGTGCTGGGTTTTTTCCCACCTCTGGCTTATGACCCTTCTAGAATCAGCTTCGGCTCCCCTCTTCCAGAAGTCTTCCCTTAGACACATGGGTCTCAGCCTTCTGGTTCAGCCTCCAGGTTGCATGTCTTAGTTTGTAAGGTTCTGGCTAAGTCTTTATTTACCAAACCCATGAGGGGAGGAAACAAGACTGTACTATTCACTGGGGCATCCTCATAGCTTAGTTCCATGCCTAGCACACAGTAGGTACTAAATAAATACTCACTGAATGGAAAGAGGGCAGAACATGGGCTTTGGAGTCTATCCCAGCATCCCTACTTTCTTGATGTGCAACCTTAAGCTCTCTGAGCCTCAGTTTTCTCATTTGTAAAATAATAATGATAACAATAGTTAACAGTGGTTGAGTGCTTACTATGTGCTAGGCACATGGTAATCACACCAACCCTCTTGGAACTTTTATTACATATGATATAGAGTAATAATAAGCACTCAAAAACAATAGCTGCTATTATTACTCTTATAAATTTCTTTGAGGAATTGACTTTGAATTTGGAAATGAATCATGAGACAGTTCAGGGAAACCTTCCAGTCTCCCCAAATGCCAACAAGCCTCCATGCATCCATCCTACCTTGAGTCAGGGGACCCTGGCTGGGCTCTGCCATCAGGTAGGTGCATCTGTTTTGAGCCATGCAGGACACCAGAAGAAAGAAGAAAAAAAACAAATGTGTTTCTGATGGGAGGAGTCCTTGAGCGGCGGGAACCCCAGGGCCTGCACACTTCTAGGATTCTTTCCGCTCTCTGCCTCACGCTGACCGGGCTCACAGATACACACGCCCTTGCCCTTCCACACCTGAGGCTTCCAGAGTAATTTCCCCTGATGCTCCCTGGCTTGGGGCCACGGCCCCTCACGGAGCCCCACCAGCCACAAGCCCACTGGGACTCAATCCCCCACCTCCTTCCTTCCTGTTCTCCCTGTCCACCTACTCTGTACACAGACAGGCTCCATTCCCGAATGGAGGGCTGGACGACACAGCCTCACGCTGGGAGACCTCAGCTTTGGCCACGTCATCTTATTCTTATATTCACTAAGTCTCTCAGTTACTACAGGCCTGAGTCTTAAACAAAACAGGGTCAAGGGGACTTTATGCCTGGTCTTCAACCTTCATCGGAGCCCTCTCTCCATCTACCCCAGTCCTATTCAGGGTGCCCTCCTCCCCCGACCTCGTTGTCACTTAAGTGTAGCACTTGGGACACGCCAAGGTCTGAACGGTGCCCAGGACACAGTAGGCAGTTTTGTGATCAAATACACTTTGGAAATAATCAAGGGTTAATACCCGTCACCCTCAGGCTGAATCTGGCCTGCAGACATGGTTTGCTTGGCTGGACTGTTTTAAAAAATCCTAAGAATGTCATTAGATGGGACGTCTGCTCTCTAGTCCACACAGTCCTTATCATCTCATACCAGGCCGTTTTGCTTACTGACTTTACCTGCCTGGATCCTGTGGGCAGCTAAGGTTTTCACCTCTGCAACGACACAAGGTATCCCCTTGGGGAGATTTGCAGTGCACATGAACATATTAAAGGCTCTGGGAAGCCCAGCAGCACTGCAGCCTGTTTCACTTTAAGAAACCCCAAATTTGTTTATCCAGAGAACCCATTCCCCTCCTCCCAGCAATATCCATTCAACATTCTACGGAACTCCTATTCTGGGCATTAGACTTTGAGATAGGCTATCATAATGTGGTCTCCCTCCCAAAAGGGGAACGATTTCATAGGAAATTCCCTAAGGATACAGACTTAAGGGGCACCAGACACGGTGGTGGTCCCTGGGCACCTGATCAGGCCTTGACCATTACATGCATCATTCAGGATCTGATACGGTGTATTGGCCATCTCCTTAGTGAGATTGTAAGCTCTATGGGCAAAGGACTGAGTCAAAATTGCTTTTGTATTCCACAGCGTCTGGCTAACGTTTGTGGAATAAATAAAGAACAGAAGTGTTGGAGGGGTTTGGAGAGCGGACTGGGCACTGCAGAGACGCAGCTCTGGCTGGCCCATGGGCACACTAAGACGCCAGGAGAAACAGCCACTGTGAGAATACCTGGGGCCACACGGCACTGGGAGACGGCTGCTGGTGCTGAGGCCCCATGTTGTTGAGGTGGATGCCACTGGGGGACAGGAGCGGCCGGTGGGGGAGCACACTGCTGACCCGGTTCAGGTCCGAGCTTGCCGGGTCACCCATTCCTGTATCTGGAGGCCCCAGGTCCCCATGGGAGCTCAGCATGGCCTGGGCCTGCCTGTCGCTTGGATAAGTCTTGGGCTGACCGTCCTCAGGCTGCTGGTGCTGGGGCAGGTGGCTCTGCTGGTACATGGGGTGGCCGTAGGGCTGCTGGGGCTCCTGGTAGTAGTACTGGGGCACAGAGCCCAGCTGAATCAGCTGGACAGTGTGCGCCTGCTCCGGGGTGTACTGGTGGGGGTCCCTGTGATAAGCAGGGGGCTGCAGGTGCATCTGTGGCTGCCGCGACTCTGGCAAATGCTGCATCATGGGTGAGGACTGGTAATACTGAGGTATCTGCATCGAACCCTGCCGCTGCTGCAGCTGCTGGGGCTGCGCTGGGCAAATCTGCTGCGGCGGCGGCTGCATTTCTTGCGCTGACATCCGCGGCTGCCCGGCTTGCTGCTGCTGCTGCTGTGGGTAATACTGGTGCTGCTGCAGCTGCTGCATGTGCTGGGACAGCATCTGGGGGGCCTGCAGTGACTGTCCTCCCTGCACTGGCATCTGGGCCAGTGGCTGCTGGTAGTCATAATACGGGTGCCCTTGGCCTGGGTGCGGCCCAACCTGAAGGGCTGGTTTAGACAGCCCGCCAGTGAAGCCAGGGTGAGGCTGCTGGGGCACCTGCTGGTAGCGGGAAGGGAGAGCCGGTGCTGGGGGCTCCATGGGCTTCTGGGACAGCAACTGGCGGAGGGCGCTTTCAGGGGCTCCGTCCATCACCGCTGACTGGGTGTGCAGCACCTGGGCCATATTGTTGACCTGAATTCGCAGGTTCTGGTTGGCAAACACCTGGGTGAAAGAGTCTAGCTTGTGCAGGACACCGCTGGTGAGCTTCTGGGTCCGGATCTCGCTGGCCTGGGAGTAGGTGTACTGGTAGCCATCGGTGGGCTCCGCCTGGGCTGGAGATCCCCACATCATGTTCGAGTTGGTCAGGTTGCCACGTAGCTGGACATGGTTTCCAGGCCCTGCATGGCCTGCCCACCCTCCCTGCCTTGAGGTGTCCACTTGGCCAAGCGTTTTGGAGCCAACAGGCAAGCCCAGACCATCCCGAGTGTCTTGAGGGAAGTGGGGGGAGATGGGTGATGCCTGAGGGGCATCCATTCCAGCCCCGGGGACTGTATTCCCATAGTTGTGGTTCAGCCCACCGTGGACGCCAAGTGGTGGCTGTTGGTAGAAAAGGTTCTCACCACCGTGGGCCACGTGATTGGTCTTGTACAGTTGCTGATCCCCCATGGTGCCTGCCTTGATCGTGAACGTCCAGCCACAAAACCATAAAAAATGATCAATGACACAAACCCGAAAGGACTGAAACCCTGAGAAGCAGAGAGAAAGCGTCCACACTACTCCACGGCTGACATGTCCATGACTGTGGCTGGAGCCAGGTGTTCCTGTTGGCCTCTACCACGCATGTGCAGGGCCGGGGGATTTACATCCTCACCCGGGCTGAGGTACGGACCAAACACCACGGTGGTGAAGAGATGCTGCTCACAACTGCAAGACAAGATGCAAAGGACAGGAAAGGATTTACTAGGATGTTTTGCAATGAGCTACTGTACCACAACCCATTATGGAAATAAACACAAAACAGGAGCCTGGATTAGAAATAGCCAGTTTCATACATGTCACTCCTTTACACTGATTCTGCAGATCCTGACCCCCCATGTGAGATATGAACTCTCTTACTTTCAAGCCATTGCTCCATGGCTCATTAGTTCATTGATTCGTTAATTCATTGTTTTGCTCACTGATTAATCCATCCATTCTTCTGGAACCCTGCTATTGAAAGCCCAGCACTATTCTAGGTCCTGTAGGGGATATAAAGAAGCTTAAGACATTCATTAATCAATTCATCTGGTCAAAAAATACTTACTAGACATAGACATCTACTAAGTGCAAGACACAATGCTAGGAAGTCATTAAGACATGGGCCATCTCTCAAGGAGCTTACAGCTAGAAAAGGCAATTGGCCACATGAATAACTACAGTATAAGGAGGAAAGAGATGCATGTAATAAAAAGGTAAAAATTAACAGATAAGGAACTCATAGTCTGGAGAGCGTATTTCTAGCAGAAGAACAGAACCGGAGACAGTTTCAAGGAAAAGCAGTACATGTGTCAGTACACAGCTACCTGCCTCCTTGGGGTCCCTGCTCAGGGAAACATCTGTGCACAGTGCTGACCACCTGGTCGGAAGCCTATGATGTGGCCTGACTCAAAAAAATAGGCTGGGCCAATCAGACTCCCTCTCTTAGAAACATGAACTAGGAAATTTTGAGTGACTGGTCTAGTCTGATCTGAAGCCATACAGGTTCCTCTGTGAACTTCAAACTGGGGTATGTCAACCCCAGGGAGTACACGAAGACTTTCCAAGCACTATACACACACATTCAAAGCTTTAAGAGAATCAATTTCCAGATCCTCAACTTCCATAATAACCCTTTTCTAGAACTGATGGGTGACAGAATTGCAGGACATTTGGTCCTGTCCAAAACATCCAAGAGATATTGGGTCTGTAAGATATTTGGTCCACGTCAAAAGGTCCCTGAAATTTGGTCTTATCCAAAATGTCCATAAAGCATATTTGGTCCATGTCAAATGGTTTTGGACAGGACCAGATGTCTGCTAACCAGTGACAGAGGTGAAAGTTGTCCTTTTACACCCGCTCTTTCACAACAGCCCTCCTCCTTTACAAAAGAAAGACAAACTTCTTACTCATTCCATCCCAAATCTTAACTGGGCTTATGCCCCAGGGATAACTCCCCCAGCCGCCACACGAGAGGGCACAGAACATTGAAAGTGAGCAACACTAATAAATAAGTAGTAAATCTTCTTTGCAAGCTGGGTGGTTTCCAATTCTTTTTTTCATTAGGAAGGCCTAATAGAAGTAATTAAAATATAATTGTTAGCGATAGATCACTATGTGATTTTTGGTACATAACTCAGAAGCAGATCAAGAACTGAGTTGACCCTGCTTTAATAAAACTTGTATTTTTATCTATTAGTTTATGTGAATGAGGGTTTTTCAGTGTTTACATCTATATAAATGAAAAATGGAAATACAATCAACGCTGATCCTTGTCTCGTATCTCATGCAACAAATAGTATTCTTCCATGGATAAATAAAAAAACAAAAGAGATAACCCGGCACAAGCAAGATTTTATCTCTGGACCTGGGTGCTAACTGCATGGTGTGCTCACTCTGTAATAACCTGAGCTGTACACTCAGACCTCGTCACATACATGCATGTATGTTATACGTCAATAAAAAAATTACTTAGCCAAAACATGGAAACAGCCTAAATGCCCATCAACAGATGAATGGATAAAGAAGATGTGGTACATATATACAATGGAATACTACTCAGCCATAAAAAAGCACACCATAATGCCATTTGCAGCAACATGGATACAACTAGAGATTATCATACTTAGTGAAGGAAGTCAGAAAGAGAAAGACAAACACCATACGATATCCATTATATGTGGAATCTAAAATATGGCACAAATGAACCTATCTACAAAACAGAAACAGACTCACAGACATAGAGATCAGACTTGTGGTTGCCAACGGGGGAGGCGGAGAGAGAGAGAGATGGACTGGGAATTTGGGGTTGGTAGATGCAAACTATTGCATTGAGAGTGGATAAACAGCAAGGTCCTACTGTATAGCCCAGGGAACTATATCCAATCTCCTGGGATAAACCATAATGGAAAAGAATATTTTTAAAAGAATGTATATGTGTTTAAAACAGTCACTGCTGTACAGCAGAGATTGGCAAAACACTGTAATTGAATCAACTATACTTCAAACAAACAAACAAACAACCCAAAAAACTCCCAAAAGCAAACAAAAGAACAATGTATTTACATGAAAAAAAATTACTTTGAAAAGTCTCCAGCATCAGCACCTAATGTACATTTTCAATGTAATTTTAGTTTTTATGTTTATTAATTATTTATCCAAATTAGAATATATTTCATGTTGTTTTGATTGCCTGCATACTATCAATAATCATAATTATACCTCAAACACGAAGAAAATTTTAGTATTTAGAACTTCCTGATTTCAGGAAATTTAAAAAGTTTTAACTTCATATGAAATTGTTACAGCGAAATGTGACCGGGAAACAAACGACAGAGTTTTAAGCACAAAAACATATTACATATATTACATTAGGGTAAAATTCCACAGGGGAAGTGAAACGAAGTAAAATTTCAAGGAGAAAAGGGAACACTGACTATTAACGAAGAGCGTGTTCATACATTTTTAAAATGGATGATGGTGGGTGTCAAATTCCTACAGTGTTTAGATTCCATTGGATACATTTAAAACAGTGATGCAATCGTTTTACTTGAAAATCTCAGTGTTTACAATATACTGGAAATTGCATCTTTGGCAGACGTATAATAAAAAATGTAGATGTAAACTTAAAAATGTGTGAGAGGGTAAATGGTTTTACAAAATCCTTTTACGGGGGATTTTAAGCAGAAAGTTTGAAGACCACTGCAGTAGGCCTCCTCCAACTGGGAGCAAGCCTGAGTTGGTCTCTGTCCCTTTCGGAATGACAAGAGAAGGAGATGGACATTCAAGATGGGGGGTTTGGTTTGGTGGAATGAATGCTGGAACAGGGAAGCAGTGGTATGGGACAAAGGTTGGCCAAAGATGGCTGGAGCAGATCCTGAAGGTGAAGTGATGCGGTGAGCCTTGAGGACTCCCAGTGACCACTCCCGGCTCAGAGGGTCTGAGCTCCTGATCAGCTGCCTACTCCACAGTTCCACTTTCAGGTTCAAAGCAAACTCATTATCACATCCCCCCAAATGGATGCTCCTCCAAAGTCTCGCCCTTGACTCTTCCTTCTCTCTTAACCAACCACCACAACTCAGCAATTTACTTCCTAACGTTTTCTTAACTGCACCCATTTTTCTCTGGTTCCACTACTATAACCCTAGTCCAAGACACCATATCTACCTTCTGCACTCTTCCAACAGCCTTCTGATTGGTCTCCCTGATTTCAGTCGTGTTCATTCTCGAGACAGCAGCAGCAGAATACACTTTTCCAAACATAACTCTGCCTCCATCAACGCACTGTTTAAAACCCTTTCATGGCATCTTAGCAACCTTAGGTTAAAGACCAAAATCATTAACAAGGCCGACAGGGCTCCGCGGGGTTTGTTCCCAGCCTCACGATGTACCCCTCTTCTCCTTGTTCTCCAACACCTCCCCATCCCCACCCCCCAGCCACGGTGGTCTCTCAATTCCTTGAACCTGCCAAGCTGCCTCCTACAACAGGACCTTTGCACATGCTGGTCCCCCAATTTGGAGAGCGTTCCCCTTCCCCACTCCAATTCCTCATCCAGCCAAGTCTTGGGCAACCTTCAGCTCTCGGCCCCAACTATACTTTCTTGGAAAGTCTATCCTGACACCCACCCCCAAGGCTACATCAGGGTCATTTCTTTTATGTTCTCATAAAACCATATTTCTTTCCTTCAGACCACTCTTCTCAGCCTGTAATTGTACTTCCACCAGTGCAATTATTTGATTAATGATCTTTCTCTCATTAGGGCAGGGACCAAGTCTGTTTTGACCTATGATTCTATTCTCCAAATCTACCGTAATTCCCAGTATATGGTAGGCCCTTTGATAAGAATTTGTTGGTGGAATGGTAATATTGTTGAATGAATGAATCAATAAATGAAAAAAAAAATAATGATCAAGCGTCCCAATGAATTGATATACAGAAAAAGATATTAAGTGTAGGCTGAAAAGATATTAAATTCTCATGAAGAATAGTTTGATTTTACCTGGATCCTGATGGACAAATAGGGTTTACAGAGGTGAGGGGACCAGGAAGGGTATTTCGGCTGAGGGAACAGCATGCACTAAGGCATGGAGTCAGGTGCGGGGTCCATGCTGGGGACCATGTCCTTGTCAGGAACTCACTGATGATCAGGCTGAATTTGTATGGTCAGGGATAACTGTGAGGCCTTAAAATGATGTCCAGTAGTGTTATCCTGTGGGTATGAGGCCAGGCTGCCTGGCTTAAACCTCGCCACTTAACCTTCCTCGAAAGCTTTGCACCAAGTCACTTCCCCCAGGAAGAATTACTTGTTGAAACTCATCAAACCCTGATGATGATCTGATTCTGCGTTCCTCCATCATGCCCCTGTGGGGGGAATGGAAGCTAGATAACTTTACTTCTGTTGACCTGTCTGCTTTGTCGTGTTCCCAAACTGCAGGGTAAGAGAGATTCCTTTGTGTTCTCAGTTACAGGAATCTATTCTTTATTTGTTCATATTTTCTGAACTGGGAATGTAGTTTATTTATAAAGAACCCTAGAAAGTAGGGAACCCTAGGAAGTCAGAGGGGAGCTCCCAAAGTGTGGTTCCCAGGCCAGCAGCATAAAACATCACCTGGGAACTTGCTGTAAATGCTGATTCTTGAGGCGCGCCTAAACCCACTGAATCTGGGGGGTGGGGACCAGCAGTCTGTGT